CTCACCCCAGCTCCGACTTGCTCACCCCAGCTCCGACTTGCTCACCCCAGCTCCGACTTGCTCACCCCAGCTCCGACTTGCTCACCCCAGCTCCGACTTGCTCACCCCAGCTCCGACTTGCTCACCGCAGCTCCGACTTACTCACCGCAGCTCCGACTTACTCACCCCAGCTCCGACTTGCTCACCCCAGCTCCGACTTGCTCACCCCAGCTCCGACTTGCTCACCCCAGCTCCGACTTGCTCACCCCAGCTCCGACTTGCTCACCCCAGCTCCGACTTACTCACCCCAGCTCCGACTTACTCACCCCAGCTCCGACTTGCTCACCCCAGCTCCGACTTGCTCACCCCAGCTCCGACTTACTCACCCAGCTCCGACTTGCTCACCCCAGCTCCGACTTGCTCACCCCAGCTCCGACTTGCTCACCCCAGCTCCGACTTGCTCACCCCAGCTCCGACTTGCTCACCCCAGCTCCGACTTGCTCACCCCAGCTCCGACTTGCTCACCCCAGCTCCGACTTGCTCACCCCAGCTCCGACTTGCTCACCCCAGCTCCGACTTGCTCACCCCAGCTCCGACTTGCTCACCCCAGCTCCGACTTGCTCACCCCAGCTCCGACTTGCTCACCCCTGCTCCGACTTGCTCACCCCTGCTCCGACTTACTCACCCCAGCTCCGACTTGCTCACCCCAGCTCCGACTTGCTCACCCCAGCTCCGACTTGCTCACCCCAGCTCCGACTTGCTCACCCCAGCTCCGACTTGCTCACCCCAGCTCCGACTTACTCACCCCAGCTCCGACTTACTCACCCCAGCTCCGACTTACTCACCCCAGCTCCGACTTACTCACCCCAGCTCCGACTTACTCACCCCAGCTCCGACTTGCTCACCCCAGCTCCGACTTGCTCCGACTTGCTCACCCAGCTCCGACTTACTCACCCCAGCTCCGACTTGCTCACCCCAGCTCCGACTTACTCACCCCAGCTCCGACTTACTCACCCCAGCTCCGACTTGCTCACCCCAGCTCCGACTTGCTCACCCCAGCTCCGACTTGCTCACCCCAGCTCCGACTTGCTCACCCCAGCTCCGACTTGCTCACCCCAGCTCCGACTTACTCACCCCAGCTCCGACTTACTCACCCCAGCTCCGACTTGCTCACCCCAGCTCCGACTTGCTCACCCCAGCTCCGACTTACTCACCCCAGCTCCGACTTGCTCACCCCAGCTCCGACTTGCTCACCCCAGCTCCGACTTGCTCACCCCAGCTCCGACTTGCTCACCCCAGCTCCGACTTGCTCACCCCAGCTCCGACTTGCTCACCCCAGCTCCGACTTGCTCACCCCTGCTCCGACTTGCTCACCCCTGCTCCGACTTACTCACCCAGCTCCGACTTGCTCACCCCAGCTCCGACTTGCTCACCCCAGCTCCGACTTGCTCACCCCAGCTCCGACTTGCTCACCCCAGCTCCGACTTGCTCACCCCAGCTCCGACTTACTCACCCCAGCTCCGACTTACTCACCCCAGCTCCGACTTACTCACCCCAGCTCCGACTTACTCACCCCAGCTCCGACTTACTCACCCCAGCTCCGACTTGCTCACCCCAGCTCCGACTTGCTCACCCCAGCTCCGACTTACTCACCCCAGCTCCGACTTGCTCACCCCAGCTCCGACTTACTCACCCCAGCTCCGACTTACTCACCCCAGCTCCGACTTGCTCACCCCAGCTCCGACTTGCTCACCCCAGCTCCGACTTGCTCACCCCAGCTCCGACTTGCTCACCCCAGCTCCGACTTGCTCACCCCAGCTCCGACTTACTCACCCCAGCTCCGACTTACTCACCCCAGCTCCGACTTGCTCACCCCAGCTCCGACTTGCTCACCCCAGCTCCGACTTACTCACCCCAGCTCCGACTTGCTCACCCCAGCTCCGACTTGCTCACCCCAGCTCCGACTTGCTCACCCCAGCTCCGACTTGCTCACCCCAGCTCCGACTTGCTCACCCCAGCTCCGACTTGCTCACCCCAGCTCCGACTTGCTCACCCCAGCTCCGACTTGCTCACCCCAGCTCCGACTTGCTCACCCCAGCTCCGACTTGCTCACCCCAGCTCCGACTTGCTCACCCCAGCTCCGACTTGCTCACCCCAGCTCCGACTTGCTCACCCCTGCTCCGACTTGCTCACCCCTGCTCCGACTTACTCACCCCAGCTCCGACTTGCTCACCCCAGCTCCGACTTGCTCACCCCAGCTCCGACTTGCTCACCCCAGCTCCGACTTGCTCACCCCAGCTCCGACTTGCTCACCCCAGCTCCGACTTACTCACCCCAGCTCCGACTTACTCACCCCAGCTCCGACTTACTCACCCCAGCTCCGACTTACTCACCCCAGCTCCGACTTACTCACCCCAGCTCCGACTTGCTCACCCCAGCTCCGACTTGCTCACCCCAGCTCCGACTTACTCACCCCAGCTCCGACTTGCTCACCCCAGCTCCGACTTACTCACCCCAGCTCCGACTTACTCACCCCAGCTCCGACTTGCTCACCCCAGCTCCGACTTGCTCACCCCAGCTCCGACTTACTCACCCCAGCTCCGACTTGCTCACCCCAGCTCCGACTTGCTCACCCCAGCTCCGACTTGCTCACCCCAGCTCCGACTTGCTCACCCCAGCTCCGACTTGCTCACCCCAGCTCCGACTTGCTCACCCCAGCTCCGACTTGCTCACCCCAGCTCCGACTTGCTCACCCCAGCTCCGACTTGCTCACCCCAGCTCCGACTTACTCACCCCAGCTCCGACTTGCTCACCGCAGCTCCGACTTACTCACCGCAGCTCCGACTTACTCACCCCAGCTCCGACTTACTCACCCCAGCTCCGACTTGCTCACCCCAGCTCCGACTTGCTCACCCCAGCTCCGACTTGCTCACCCCAGCTCCGACTTACTCACCCCAGCTCCGACTTGCTCACCCCAGCTCCGACTTGCTCACCCCAGCTCCGACTTACTCACCCCAGCTCCGACTTGCTCACCCCAGCTCCGACTTGCTCACCCCAGCTCCGACTTGCTCACCCCAGCTCCGACTTGCTCACCCCAGCTCCGACTTGCTCACCCCAGCTCCGACTTGCTCACCCCAGCTCCGACTTGCTCACCCCAGCTCCGACTTGCTCACCCCAGCTCCGACTTGCTCACCCCAGCTCCGACTTGCTCACCCCAGCTCCGACTTGCTCACCCCAGCTCCGACTTGCTCACCCCAGCTCCGACTTGCTCACCCCAGCTCCGACTTGCTCACCCCAGCTCCGACTTGCTCACCCCAGCTCCGACTTGCTCACCCCAGCTCCGACTTGCTCACCCCAGCTCCGACTTGCTCACCCCAGCTCCGACTTGCTCACCCCAGCTCCGACTTGCTCACCCCAGCTCCGACTTGCTCACCCCAGCTCCGACTTGCTCACCCCAGCTCCGACTTGCTCACCCAGCTCCGACTTGCTCACCCCAGCTCCGACTTGCTCACCCCAGCTCCGACTTGCTCACCCCAGCTCCGACTTGCTCACCCCAGCTCCGACTTGCTCACCCCAGCTCCGACTTGCTCACCCCAGCTCCGACTTGCTCACCCCAGCTCCGACTTGCTCACCCCAGCTCCGACTTGCTCACCCCAGCTCCGACTTGCTCACCCCTGCTCCGACTTGCTCACCCCTGCTCCGACTTACTCACCCCAGCTCCGACTTGCTCACCCCAGCTCCGACTTGCTCACCCCAGCTCCGACTTGCTCACCCCAGCTCCGACTTGCTCACCCCAGCTCCGACTTGCTCACCCCAGCTCCGACTTGCTCACCCCAGCTCCGACTTACTCACCCCAGCTCCGACTTACTCACCCCAGCTCCGACTTGCTCACCCCAGCTCCGACTTGCTCACCCCAGCTCCGACTTGCTCACCCCAGCTCCGACTTGCTCACCCCAGCTCCGACTTGCTCACCCCAGCTCCGACTTACTCACCCCAGCTCCGACTTACTCACCCCAGCCCCGACTTGCTCACCCCAGCTCCGACTTGCTCACCCCAGCTCCGACTTACTCACCCCAGCTCCGACTTGCTCACCCCAGCTCCGACTTGCTCACCCCAGCTCCGACTTGCTCACCCCAGCTCCGACTTGCTCACCCCAGCCCCGACTTGCTCACCCCAGCTCCGACTTGCTCACCCCAGCTCCGACTTGCTCACCCCAGCTCCGACTTGCTCACCCCAGCTCCGACTTGCTCACCCCAGCTCCGACTTACTCACCCCAGCTCCGACTTGCTCACCCCTGCTCCGACTTGCTCACCCCTGCTCCGACTTGCTCACCCCAGCTCCGACTTGCTCACCCCTGCCTCTGTGAAGGAGAACCTTCAGCAACATGTCCACGTGATAATAGTGTATTTTTGAGACGTCTCAAAAACACAATTTTATCACAGGACCATAAACAACCTGTCCACCCTCAGCTCCCCATTTCACGTGTTTCAGGGTCCTTGGTCACATACGCAGTGAGCCCCACGGCACTGCTTCCTCTCCCACTCGTGTAGATCCCTCGGGGGGCGATCTTGTGCACATACTGCAGCAGCTGCGACTTGCTCGCTCGTGCCTCTCATCTCAACGCACGACACCACCAACCGCCCAGGCTCAGCTCACCATTTCACGTGTTTCAGCCTCAGCTCACCATTTCACGTGTTTCAGCCTCAGCTCACCATTTCACGTGTTTCAGCCTCAGCTCACCATTTCACGTGTTTCAGCCTCAGCTCACCATTTCACGTGTTTCAGCCTCAGCTCACCATTTCACGTGTTTCAGCCTCAGCTCACCATTTCACGTGTTTCAGCCTCAGCTCACCATTTCACGTGTTTCAGGGTCCTTTGTGACGTACGCAGTGAGTCCCACAGCACTGCTGCCTCGCCTGCTTGTGTAGATGCCCCTCGGAGCGATCTTGTACACATACTGCAGCAGCTGCGACTTGCTCGTCCCCCTACAGCCACCCAACAGCACCAGAAATCACCCAGCGTCAGCTCACCATTTCGCGTGTCTCAGGGTCCTTGGTCACATAGGCTGTCAGGCCCACAGCACTGCTCCCCCTGCCGCTGGTGTAAATCCCCCTGGGAGCGATCTTGTGCACATACTGCAGCAGCTGCGACTTGCTCGTGCCCGGGTCCCCCACCAGCAGCACGTTCATGTCTCCTCGGAACTGCACTCCTGACGATAGGCGCTTTACCGACCCCCCAAAGAGCTGAAGAAGGGATGGAAAGGCGAAGGGAGGTGTGAAGTCAGGTCAAGTCAAGCCGGGTATGCTCGTGCCCGGGTCCCCCACCAACAGCACGTTCATGTCTCCTCGGAACTGCACTCCGGATGACAGGCGTTTTACCAACCCGCCAAAGAGCTGCAAGGGGGATGAAAAGGCAAAGGGAGAGGTGGATTCTTAGGTTAATCAAAGGTGGGCACGGGGAAAGGGGGTTTAAGAGCTGGGTAGAACATCCCAAGCCAAGTTGGGTCCCCCGCCAGCAGCACGTTCATGTTGCCCCAGAACTGCATAGAGACTAAGATCTTCATCACTCACTCCTCCTTCGTCTCCACTTGAAAAAAAACACTCCTTTCCCCGCCACCTGCCACACCAGCATTTCCGCACCCCACCTGGCACAGCAGCCCCTTGTTGATGTCATCCAGCTCATAAATGGACGGCGCCAGAGAACATGTGTGATGTGCTTGTTGCGTAGAAACTATTAAGTGCAAGACACTCCCCCTCCCCCACCTGGCACAGCAGCCCTTTCTTGATATCATCCAGCTCGCAGATGGACGGCGCCAGAGAACACGTGTGATGTGCTTGTAGCATAGCGATTAAGACGCCAGCCACCCTCCCTTCGACCCACCTGGCACAGCAGCCCCTTCTTGATGTCATCCAGCTCATAGATGGACGGCGCCAGGGAGCACATGTGATGTGCTTTTGAGCAATATGCCTCCCTTGCTAGTCACTACCCCCCACCATCATAGCACAGCAGTCCCTCCCTTCGACCCACCTGGCACAGCAGTCCCTTCTTGATGTCGTCCAGCTCATAGATGGACGGCGCCAGGGAGCGAGCCAACCGCTCGTATATGTCCGGCTGCCGGGATAGTTCCCGAAATGCCTCCACCTGGTGGGGTGTAGAGAGACGCAGATAGGCGGATAGTTTTCGAATCGAAACACCTGATAGCTTCCAAAAGCTCAGGGAAGGAAGTACCTAGGGGTTTTTCAATCATTATTTGTGCGGGTGGAAAAAACGACCTTGAAGGGGAGGGTGTGTGGGACTTCAAAGGAGAGCCATATCATGCATCTACAAGCATAGGGGGGTTGCACAGATGGCTGATGTGCACAGATGGCTGATGTGCACAGATGGCTGATGGGGGAAAACCCATCCGTACCTGTTGCGGTGAGAAGTAGGCAGCGTCAGGGTTTGCATCATCCGCATCACCCCCAGCAGATGTTGTCAGCGGCTGTTGTGACTGTGACGGCTGTGCTGCCCCCTTGTTACGTGTGCGGCCCCCCTCCTCCTTGCGAATGTGAATGCAGTCCAGATAGGTCTGCAGGCGTGGGATGCGGGAAGGGAGAAGGGGGAGGGGGAGGGAAGGTGAGCTTGTTCCTATGCCTGCAACGCTGTCCCCTTGTTGCACGTGAAGCCCCGCATCCTCCTTGGGAATGTGAATGCAGTCCAGATAGGTCTGCAGTGGGCAGGAGAATGGAGTGGATGGGGGGGTAGCTAGGACGGTTGTTGTGAGTGCTGCGGGAAAAATAAGGATTGGAAGTGTAGCAAGCCAATCGTGGCGGCAGCGGCAGTGGCAGCAGGAGCAGAAGGAGCAGCAGGAGCAGGAGCAAGAGCAGCAGCAGCAGCAGCAGCAGCAGCAGCAGCAGCCAAACACCCAGCAATTCAACCCACCTACACACCCACCCGGTAGAGCGAGCGCAGGTTGCGCTGGTTGGAGTTGACCCGCACGGGCAAGGCTCGAAACACCCCCGTCACCTGCACACTCTGTTGATTGCGGTGGAAGCAGCAGTAGAGGCAGCCACCCACCCGCCCGCCCAAACCCCCATCCACCATCCCCCCTCACCCACCCACCTTCCTACCCATCCCTCTGTCCACACACTCACCCGGTAGAGCGAGCGCAGGTTGCGCTGGTTGGAGTTTACCCGCACGGGCACGGCTCGGAACACGCCTGTCACCTGCATGCACACAGCATTGTGATCCGGTGTCAATGCACACAAGCAAGGGGATAGCCGGTGAGCCAGTGAGCCGGTCAGGCAAATTTGTTTAGATGCCAAATCTCCACAACTCGCCAGTGCTTGCAAAAGCAAACGCCAGACACACTACGGTTTGGGGCGGGAGGGAGGGAGGGAGTGAGGGAGGGAGGGAGGGAGGGAGGGAGGGAGTGAGGGAGGGAGGAGGGAGGGAGGGACGGAGGGAGGGAGGGAGGGAGGGAGGGAGGGAGGGAGGGAGGGAGGGAGGGAGGGAGGGACGGAGGGAGGGAGGGAGGGAGGGAGGGAGGGAGGGAGGGAGGGAGGGAGGGAGGGAGGGAGGGAGGGAGAAGTCAAACTCTCTGGTGAATTCAAGAAAGGCCACAAGAACCACACTACTCGCTCACTGCCTGCAGGCGCAGGCACGCCACTGGTACTACTCGATGTATGATGAGTCGATTTTTTAGTCGACTGAAAAATCGACTCATCACACCTGCAGGCGCAGGCACGTCACTGGTACTACTCCATGTAGAAGAGAAAGTAAGAAGCTCACCTCCACTCGGTCACCCGGTTTTGCAGTGTCAACCAGGGAGTCAAACAGAAACACGGACACGGTATGCGGGGTCTCCCCTTCCGGCATATCCTCTGGCGTCTCCTGCAGGCGAAGCATCTGCTTGTTGATAAAGCGGCTGCGGTTGTGCAGCAGAGTCATGCTGTTGAGCGCCCCACACTCGGGCCACGGGCACCGCCTCGGCTCCTCTATCACCCCTGCGAGACAAGCGGGGGGAGTAAGGAGGGCGTGCGGAGGGGAGGGGAAGGGGGGAAAGGAGAGAGAGGGCGGAAAAGAGTCGAGAATAAGGATAGGGAAACATAGCAGGGATCTCCTGCAGGCGAAGCATCTGCTTGTTGATGAATCGGCTGCGGTTGTGCAGCAGCGTCAAGCTGTTCATCGCTCCACACTTGGGCCACGGGCACCGCCGTGGTTCCTCTATTACCCCTGGGAGAAGGGAGTGGGGATGGGGGATGGGGGACATTACATGTGTCGTCTCCTGCAGGCGAAGCATCTGCTTGTTGATAAAGCGACTGCGGTTGTGCAGCAGCGTCATGCTGTTCAACGCTCCGCACTCGGGCCAGGGACAGCGCCTTGGCTCCTCTGTCACACCTGCAAGGACCCAAGGAGGGACGCAGAGGAGAGGAGAGGGAGGGAGGGAGATGGGAGAACATGTGCCTCCTGCAGAGCAGAGGCAGGCAGCACAATCGGCTCTGCTTGTTAATGAATCGGCTTCGGTTGTGCATTAGAGTCATGCTGTTCAATGCCCCACACTTGAACCGGGGGCACTGTCTTGGCTCCTCACTTACTCCTGGGAGACTTGCACGGAATAAAAGATTATTTTTGTTTTTTTTTCAGGAGGAGGAGGGGACGGCGGGAAGACGGGAGTGTGGAAAGGGGGGAAGTACCAGTTAGGCGAGTGGCCAGCCGCACACGAGACACTTGAGGTAGGAATGTTGTCCCTGGACAAACAATCCAGCACCTCACTCACACCTCTCCAGGTTACTCTCTCAACGCACCTCGGTCCACAAGCACGAGGTCCACAAGCACGAGGTCCACAAGCACGAGGTCCACAAGCACGAGGTCCACAAGCACGAGGTCCACAAGCACGAGGTCCACAAGCACGAGGTCCACAAGCACGAGGTCCACAAGCACGAGGTCCACAAGCACGAGGTCCACAAGCACGAGGTCCACAAGCACGAGGTCCACAAGCACGAGGTCCACAAGCACGAGGTCCACAAGCACGAGGTCCACAAGCACGAGGTCCACAAGCACGAGGTCCACAAGCACGAGGTCCACAAGCACGAGGTCCACAAGCACGAGGTCCACAAGCACGAGGTCCACAAGCACGAGGTCCACAAGCACGAGGTCCACAAGCACGAGGTCCACAAGCACGAGGTCCACAAGCACGAGGTCCACAAGCACGAGGTCCACAAGCACGAGGTCCACAAGCACGAGGTCCACAAGCACGAGGTCCACAAGCACGAGGTCCACAAGCACGAGGTCCACAAGCACGAGGTCCACAAGCACGAGGTCCACAAGCACGAGGTCCACAAGCACGAGGTCCACAAGCACGAGGTCCACAAGCACGAGGTCCACAAGCACGAGGTCCACAAGCACGAGGTCCACAAGCACGAGGTCCACAAGCACGAGGTCCACAAGCACGAGGTCCACAAGCACGAGGTCCACAAGCACGAGGTCCACAAGCACGAGGTCCACAAGCACGAGGTCCACAAGCACGAGGTCCACAAGCACGAGGTCCACAAGCACGAGGTCCACAAGCACGAGGTCCACAAGCACGAGGTCCACAAGCACGAGGTCCACAAGCACGAGGTCCACAAGCACGAGGTCCACAAGCACGAGGTCCACAAGCACGAGGTCCACAAGCACGAGGTCCACAAGCACGAGGTCCACAAGCACGAGGTCCACAAGCACGAGGTCCACAAGCACGAGGTCCACAAGCACGAGGTCCACAAGCACGAGGTCCACAAGCACGAGGTCCACAAGCACGAGGTCCACAAGAACGAGGTCCACAAGCACGAGGTCCACAAGCACGAGGTCCACAAGCACGAGGTCCACAAGCACGAGGTCTGGCGAGTGGCCGCACACGAAGCACTTGAAGTAAGTAGTTTTGATGTCATTCCACCCACGCACTGTTCCCCACTGCCTCACTCAACCTCTCTCCACGTTACTCTCTCATCTCACCTCTGTCCACGAGCACGAGGTCAGGCGAGTGGCCGCACACGAGGCACTTGAAGTAAGCAGCCTTGATGTCTGGGATGATGGAGGAGGTACGGATGACCATTCCCCTCACCGCAACCAGTGCATCGATGTCTGGTGATGGGAGAAGCGTTGGAGAAAGGTGGGACGGGAGGGAGGGTAGGAGGAGGGGAGGGAGGGTTGGAGGAGGGGAGGGAGGGTAGGAGGAGAGGAGGGAGCGCGGGAAAGGTGGGAAAAGAGGGAGGTTGGAGGGGGCAGGGGTTGGTGTGAAAGATGATCAGTAGGCATGTGGGCATGAGAGTGGCTGTGGCCGCTCACGAGGCACTTGAAGTAAGCAGCCTTGATGTCTGGGATGATGGAGGAGGTACGGATGACCATGCCCCTCACCGCAACCAGTGCATCGATGTCTGGTAGGGAGTGATAACGGGCAGGAAGGAGGGTTAGACAAGAGGATGAAGGGAGCGTGAGAAGCGAAAGAGGGGGGGAAGGTGTGATGTGTGGTGTGGTGCTGTGTATGAAGAAGTGCTTTGAGACGTCTCAAAACACTTCTTCATACAGGAAAGAGGGGGCGAAGGTGTGAGGTGCGGTGTGGTGTGGTGCTGTAGTGTATTGTGGTATGGTGTGGTCGTCCAGCCCAGCAACAAGGTGGGCACATGGGGGGCACGCACCTGAGGGGTTGAGGTCGCGCATGTGCACCGTGTCCCGGAGGTTGAATGTCCGCACCTGAGCGGGGGGTGAGAGTGAGGGGATGGAGGGAAAGAGGAGAGGAGGTGTAAAGGGGAGAGGTGAAGAGGAGGAACAGAGAGTGGGAGGTCTCGCATGTGCACTGTGTCCCGAAGGTTGCATGTGCGCACCTGAGAGGGGGGGGGAAGCGAGAGAAGTAGAAGTGAGGGAGGCACATTTCTTTTCTTGAACAACGAGATGCGGCTATGGCAGGTGAGTGTGGTGCGTGTGGTGAGTGATCGCTACATTCACTTGCATGTACTTCTCCCACATGGTCAATCTGTCAGCTGCCCAAGAAATCTTTCAGGTGCCCAAGAAGTCTGTCAGCTGCTCAAGAAATCTGTCAGCTGCCCAAGCCGCCCACCTGGATGTGCTTGTCCCACATGGGCATGCGGTCGGCTGCCAGCTCAGCGATCTTGATGTCGAAGATGGGGATGACCTCCAATGGGTAGCGCACTAGCAGGCGGTACAGCTCAGCAGAGAAGGCGTACACGTCAGCACAGTCCACAGGGAAGGTGTCTCCCTCCATCTCCACCAGCTGGGGTGTGAGTGGGTTGTGTGTGCGGGGGGCATGCGAGACAGGCGTGCATGGGGATAGGTAGGTGAATAAGGCGACTTCGAAACATCTCAAAAGTTGTCAGTACAGTCCGGGGGAAACGTGTCCCCCTCCATCCCCACCAGCTGGTGTGAGTGAGTGTTGGAGGGACGGAGGGTTATAAGTAGTTGGAGAGGCGGTAGGCGGATTGGCAGGGTGTTTGGACAGGAATGCGCCGCGGGGGAGAAGGCGTGAACGTCAGCACAGTCCACGGGCGTTTGTCTTCCCCTCACTGCGCACTCACCTCCCTGAGTCAGTCCCCTCAAATCCTCCTCCACCGCCCCCTTCATCCCTGCCACACCCCCCCCTCTCCCCCTTCCCTTCCTCCTCCCCCCACCGCACCTCATCAAGCTGCTGAGAGTACTTAGCGTGAAGGGCATCATCCGCCTCCCTGAAATACCGCACAAACGATGCACACTCACCAGCCCAATTCCCCTCATTGCTCACTAACATCCCCCTCCCTTCTCCCTCCTCCCCACGTTACACACACCACCCCTCTCCCTCCCACCGCACCTCATCAAGCTGCTGAGGATACTTAACGTGAAGGGTATCATCCGCCTCTCTGAAGTGCTGCACGAGCAATACAAGCGTGCTGGACAGTTCGTCTCCTTTCTCACTCCCTTCCCATCCCAAGACCGCCTCTTTCAATCCCTCCCTTCCCTTCCCACTACAACCCCTCCCCCCCGACCCAAACCGCACCTCATCAAGCTGCTGAGAGTACTTGGCGTGAAGGGCATCATCCGCCTCCCTGAAGTGCCGCACGAACGATGCAAACTTGCTCGACACGTCCTGCACGCTCACCCCCGTGCCCCACACGAACGTCCCCTCCAACTCCTCCTCCTCCTCCTCCTCCTCCTCCCCCTCCCCCGCCCCCTGCCCCTGTCCCCCCATCTCTTGCGCACCCCCACCCAGTCCTGCCTCCCCACGCGACCCTGCCCCTGCTCCTGCCCCTCCCCCTGCCCCTCCCCCTGCCCTTCCCCCAGCTCCTGCGGCTCCTCTTCTCCCCCTCTGCTGCTGCTGCCGGTGGTACTGCTCCCATGACATTCTGTCCTGCTCCGAATTGCCTCCCTGCCAGGGCACGAGCGGAGCAGAGGGGGGAAAGGGAGCATGATTTCTGAGGGAGAAAGAGAGCATGATGCCTGCGGCTCCTCCTCTCCCCCTCTGCTGCTGCTGCTGCGGATGGTACTGCTCTGCTCCCACGACATTCTGTCCTGCTCTGAATTGCCTCGCTGTCAGGGCACGCGCGGAATAGAGGGAGTAAGAAAGCATGAACGCAGAGAAAACTTATTTCTGAGCTGGTCTGAGTCCCCTTGCTGTCGGGGCAAGCCCGGAGCATAGGGAGGAAAGGGGAAAGAAGAGAAGGACGAGGGTGGATAGTGTGATGGGGGTTGGGAGCAGGCCGAGCATGGCCAACAGTACAACCTACCCGGCTCCCTCACCTGAGGGTTCAGGCGGTCTCAGGCAGCTTTGTTGTGCTGAAAAGCGTGGCCACAGATACTTGATGCTTTTCAAGGCATCTCAATCAGAAACCACCTGCCAGGCTATCGGATGGCTCGGGCGGCTCTGGCGTGCTGACAGGCGTGCCTGAAGGCACACCTCCCCCAGATAACGCCTGCCGTGACAGTGCTTGATTGATGATTTTAAATCCACCTACCAGGCTATCAGATGGCTCAGGGGGCCCTGGCGTGCTGACAGGCGTGCCTGAAGGTGCACCTCCCCCAGATGCCGCCTGCCCTGATGCGCCCTGCCTGCGGCGGTGGAACCTGCGGCGCTGCGCCATGGAGCCGCCGAGGTCGCTTCTGGGGAAGGACGGACTGCGGGGAGGGAGGGGGGGAGGGGGGGAGGAGGGGAGAAGGGTGGGAGGGGAGAGGGGTAAACTGGTTGGAGAACAGTGCACAGTGCACAGTGCATCCCTGCCTGCGGCGGTGGAACCTGCGGCGCTGCGCCATGGAGCCGCCCAGGTCGCTCCTGGAGAAGGACGGACTGAGCGGGAAGGGGGGGAGGAGGGGGACGGAGAGAGAAGAGGGAAGGGGGGAACCGTAGTGAGGGATGGGGCGCCGCAGAGGGGAGAGGGAGGGTGGGGTTGGGTTAGGAGTGGTGGGGAGAACGGGCGCGCAAAGTGCATACGTGCTCAACGAGCGAATCCCAAGTGAATTCATATCGACTTGCGTGTAATTCGAGCTTCAGGGATCCTGCTGAGAAGTCCTGTTCAATAGAGCGATCCAGCAACGGGGTCCGCCGAAATCATGAAAGCGCGTGTCACATCAAAGTTGGATCCTTTACAACGAAAACGGCTGCAGAGAAGGACCAACGGCTACCCAGCTGGTTCAGGAGTGCATAAATCTGAAAGTGTAACAGAAGAACCACTAGTTGGCGTAAGCGTAACGCACGTGGATCAGACAGTGCGTTGCTGCGGTGATCGCTTGCTTGCGCTCTTCGGCGGTGGCCTTTGAGTCCACAGTAAAATGACCTGGTAGATTCAAGTAAGCAATGACTAATAGAGACTAACGAAACTCACGTGGATCGGATGGTGGGTTGCTGCGAGCTGTACGGGCTGCCGGCGCTCGCGCGTGGCGTGAAGTTCAGCTGAGGCGAGCTCGATCGCCCCGAGTCCCGCGGAGTTAGAGGAGTCTGCTCCGGCGTTTGCATTGACCCCTGCGGGGTTTGCGCTGGCGTGCGCATCGACCCTTGCGGGGTCTGTGCGGAAACGCCATCGCTGCGTGCATGGGGATTTCCGTCTGATGACATTTTTACCGAATGGCTAGTAATATGCTAAATCGCACTGATTAGCAAGACACTACGGACGTCCGAATAGTAGGGACGTCGGGAAGGCAATGCTGAGTGAAAAGCAGCTCTGGAATCTAGATTTTGGAACCGTGTCGGGGTAGCAGTCCGGCTTGTGTCAGAGGTTTCCTCGTTGTAGGTGAATCCCGATAACGACCTAGAAATATATTGTTTATTGCTACATGTGCTGGTTGACTCCCTTGGATGTACACATTGTAATACGATAAAACCGGAGGAAACTTAGTCCCACTCTAGAAAGATATTGTTTGTAGCCCAATTCAAGGGAAAAAATAGGCATTTCGAATTTCTGGAAAAATATTACACGATAAAAAAGAGGCTGTAGAGGAATCCTGCACAACGAATAATTGCACGATAAAAAAGAGGCTGTAGAGGAATCCTGCACTCTAAACTAACTCACATTCCAACATTCAGTATGGTTTGTACTTGCAGCGGGTACAGATAGTTCATCAATCCTGTCTCGTCCCAGCGCTCCGCATCCCGTCCGCCACACCTGCTCCACTCCCGACTCCGCCCACCGCACAGCCCTCCGCCACCGCCTGCGCTCTTTCCGCACCCTCAACACGCCGGCGCGCAACAGTAGCGTCAAAAGCCTCTGATTCTTTCTTACATCGCGTCAGCGCAAGGGAAAAGTAAAGGATTCTTTTCGATTTGCAGCCATGTCCGCTCCGGAGAAGCCGCTGGTGTCGGAGGAGGAGATGGCGAACGCGCGGCTGAGCCTGGGCGCGCGCGATCTGTGCGCGCATCTGCTGATTCCGCTGAACCGGTGCCGCACGGAAACGATGTTCGCGCCGTGGAAGTGCAGCGACGAGCGGCACTCGTACGAAAAGTGCGAATACGAGCTGTTCCTACGGCGGATGAAGAAGATGGAGGCCTTCCGCGAAGCAACGCAATGACTACGTCATAGTCGCACGCGGGTGAGGAGAAAAGTGGTCAAGGGTCGGTAACGGGTTGTGGCGCTTCAGACGGTGGTGGTCATATGACAGGTCGTTGCATTTCAGCGGCAAGCGCGTTTGTTCGGCAGCTCGATTTGAAATGCTTGTGGCCAAAGGCGTTTCGAGGAGCCAGAATCGAAGTGGTTTCCTCTTAGAGCGGAGAGCGCCGTCACTGACAGCCGGAGAGTTGACCTAAACTAGTATGGTTCGTGTCCTGTGGTTCATTTCCAGCCTAAAAGCCATGCAGTGGTTACACACGTAGTGGAATGAGACGAGTTCTGAGGCGCCTCAATAGTACTACGAGTTTTGAGGCGCCTCAAAACGTGTCCTGTGGTTCCCCGTCAGCCTAAAAACCATGTGGTGGGTACACGCGTACTGGGTATCATCCTGAGATGTTGTGAGGTGTTATTGCCATGAATCCATTGGCCTAGTGCTAGTACGGGCTATCATTCTCTAACCCCAGTGTTCTTATGTGTGCTCGGTGCGCTTCGCACATGATTCGACCTTGGGTTTGAGAACCAGCTTCAAGAGTCAATGCCTTTGTCATCAGTTTAATTTACCATCGCTGGCTCCGTGGTTCGTGGTATTTGAGTCACTTTCTTTGGCTGCCACTTGTTCTAGACATTTGTCCATTTGACAATCTTCTTACTGTCTGCTCCTATCTTTTGCATGTCTTGTCTTCCCTGCTCAATTTGTTTTTGTACCGCGTCAGGTATTTGCTCCAGATTTCAGGTCAAGGGCATACATACAGGACGAGTGTAAGCTCTGATACAGCCCTAAGCCCGGAATGTAACTTTGTTGTAGTGACAGTCAATTCTAGTGCATTCATGACAGGATGGCAAGGTATACCACACCTGTGCATGCTTTCTTGTATCCAAATTATTCATCATGCTAGCAGTGTAGTATCCTAGCTACCGAACATAAATTTTAGGGATTGTTAACCTCATTGTTTGCATGAAAGTTAAACCATAAATTGTTTGCATAAAAGTTCGCACGATGATTTTAATCACATATATCATTATGTAGCCATTTATGTCTCTTGCCGACATTGCTTGCACCAGTGAAGTCCTCACGCCATAGCATCCAGCACAAGTAGTATCACAAACCCCTAGACCTTCATTTAGGGTTAGTGTCTAGTCTCTTATCCCTGCTTCAAATACCCTTCTTCAAGTAGTATCCCTGCTTCACCGCCCCTGATCCCCTGGTTGACAGCCTCGAATCGACCGGCGGAAAAACCGCTCGGGGTTCGGAAATTCATCGTGTTTTGAGGAATTAGCATCGCTTGCTGGTGTTCGAATCGCACCGTGTTACACTGGACCGGCATTCCGTGGTACTGGTGACCGTGAAGCAGTCTTAGTATCTCACGGGCGCTCGTTGATGCGACCATGAACAAGTCTGTTCGACATGAGGTGCGCATGAATTAATCGATTCGTAGACGATTCTTTTTCTCCACAGCCCGCTTTTGGCTTCTCGCTTTCGAACGCCAAAGATAGCTGGGAGATTTCATTCTTCAAGGCAAATGTCGGCACGGTCGAAGCGCTTGAGCCTCGCTTAGGGTAATCCACGGTCTTCCATGGCTCTTCCGTTCCTCGATGCCAGCTTTCCATCTGCATTCTTTGGCAAAAAGAAACAGGCTTTAGCCTTTCCCCGCGTCACGTTTGCCGCCTCGCGTTGTTGACTTCAGCCAATTCAAACGCCATCATTTCGCAAAAGAGCCAGGGTCTAGCTGCCACGCGTCTTCCGTAAGAAAACTCAAATGCGTTTGCACTAGTTATCCTCACCTGCATGGGAAAGCATGACACGCCTCAACACTCAGTTGCCTTCGCCTGCACAGCACAATGTCGGCTGTTTCGAGACCCCGGTCGCGTCACGACAATCTCACTCACTATCACGGCCGCGGGTTCGGTTTCTTCAAGGCGGACGACGTGTGCGCGACCATCTCCCATTCCCCCGCACATATTCTCCCCTCCCCTCTATCCCCCGGCAACCCCCCTCCTGCTCCACCCTTCTCCCCCTTTCCCCCAGCTACCCCCCCCCCCTTCCTTCCTCCTCCCCCCCCTCCAAGCAGGCGGTGAGTCGCGTGATAGAGGGTGCGGGGTGCGTCTCCACGGCGGGCGAGGTGCGCGCCATCAGCCCCCGTTCATGCGCACCCATCCCCTCTTTCCCCCTCCCCCTTCCTATCCCCCCCAACCCCACAGGTGGTGAGCCGCGTGGTAGAGGGCGTGGGGTTCGGATTCTACACGGCGGACGAGATGCGCGCTATCAGCGTGAGGCGCATCCATGCCCTCCCTTCTCCTCCTCCCCTCCTCCCCCCACCCCTCCCTCCCCAATCCCACAGGTGGTGAGCCGAGTGATAGAGGGCGTGGGGTTCGGATTCTACACGGCGGACGAGGTGCGCGCCATTAGCGTCAGGCGCATCACCAATCCGCTGCTCTTCGATGGGCTGCGCAGCCCTGCTGCTGGCGGCCTCTACGACCCTGCACTCGGCCCCGTTGATAAATCTGATGTGTGAGTCCTTTTGTTGGGGTTTAAAGTAGGAGCACCCTCATCAGCGTGAGGCGCATCACCAATCCGTTGCTCTTCAACGGGCTGCGCTGCCCCGCCGCAGGGGGGCTCTATGACTTCGCACTCGGCCCCGTCGATAAGTCTGATGTGGAAGCACTCTTCAGGGGTTTAGGGGGTTTGTGAGGGAGGTTGGGTCTAGGGGGGGAGGGGAGAATATGGAGGTGCGCGCCATCAGCGTGAGGCGCATCACCAATCCGCTGCACTTCTATTTGCAGGGGTTTATGAGGGTTTATGAGGGGCCTCCACAGCGGATCGCCAACCGCTGCAGGGGTCTTTATGACCCCGCCCTCGGTCCTGTTGATAAATCTGACGTGTGATTTCTCTGTAACGAGTTTTGGGAGGGGCCGCTTTGAACCTCTTGATAAATCTCATGTGTGTGTGACAAAAAATATCGACAAATGTTACATGCCCGAAACCCCAATTGTTAAACCCTACACCCGCACCCCCCTTGCAGCTGCGTCACATGCCAGCTGGGGTACTTCCATTGCCCGGGGCATTTCGGCCACCTGAAGTTGGCACTGCCAGTGTACCACCCGCTGCTCTTCCCCCTCCCCTGGGTTCTTCACGTTAAACCCTCTCTTAAACCCAACACCCGCACCCCCCTTGCAGCTGCGTCACATGCCAGCTGGGGTACTTCCATTGCCCGGGGCACTTCGGCCATCTGGAGCTGGCACTGCCCGTGTACCACCCGCTGCTCTTCTCCCTGCTCGTGAAGCTGCTGCGCTGTGTGTGCCTGCGCTGCCACCATCTGAAGCTGCTCTCCGCCGTGGTACGTACTCCTCGTCAAAACCTCTAACTTTGGCCTAGCCCTGCAAGCCTGAATGTGCACCATCCGACCCGCTGCCTTTCTCCCTGCTCGTGAAGCTGCTGCGCCGCGTGTGCCTGCGCTGCCATCATCTGAAGCTGCTCTCCGCTGTGGTATGCATTCCCCTTTGCAACCGCGGGCTTGTTAGGGTTAAGCTAGGCCCCATGCCCGTGTACCACCTGCTGTGCTTTGGCCTTCTCGTGAAGCTGCTGCGCTGCGCTGCGTGTGCCTGCCACCACCTCAAGATTCTTTCTGCCATGGTAAGCATTTTCCTTCACAGCTGCAAGTGTTTGGGTTAGGTTTGGGTAAAGCTAGCCCTGGTGCCTGCCTCTCTACCATCTGCCCTGGGAGGTAGACGGGGGGTAGCCAGCCGGAGCTCGCCCTGCTTGTCCTGCCTATCACCCGACCTGTTGCTCTTCCCTCTCCTCGCGAATCTGCTGCGCTGCACCGCATGACCTCGAACCCAACCCCACCCCACCCCACCCCACCCCACCCCGCTCGCCCACTCACCCCCCTTGTGTGCAGTCGAAGCTGTATGCGCTGCGGCTGGCGCTCATCTCTCAGGGGCGGCTGAGGGAGGCTCAGGAGCTGAGCTGGGGCAGAAAGTGCCCCCCGAGGCCAAGCATATCAACTGAATCTTCCGCCCCAAACCTTCTACCCTGAACCCCAATCCCCCTCCACACCCACCCCATGTCTGCAGTCGAAGCTGTATGCGCTGCGGCTGGCGCTGATTTCCCAGGGGCGGCTGAGGGAGGCGCAGGAGCTGGGACAGAAAATGCCGCCCAAGGCCAAGCGTCGAGGCTGGGGCAAGGGGAATGGGAAAGGAAAGGGAGAAGAGGGGATGGGAGGAGGAAAAGGAGGAGCAAAGGCTGTATATGTGTCTGGGCCAGCAGGGGCAGTAGATGATGATGAGGATGAGGAGGAGGAAGAGGAGGAGGGGGAGGATGGGGAGAAAGGAGCACAGGAGATGGATATTGATGGGTCTTGGAAAGCAGAGGCTGAGAAAGCTGCTGCTGCAGCGGAGGCTGCGGGGGGAGACGAGTGGGGGGATGTGCTGGAGGGGGAAGGGGGAGGGGGAGGGGGAGAGGAGAGGTGGTCGTGGGCAGCAGAGGTGGCGGCGAGGGAGGTGGTGCGGGAGCTGTGGAGTGTGGTGCCGGCCTCCAAGTGCCAGAACTGCTTTGCCAACAACCCCAGCGTCAAGCGGGAGGGCCACAGCAAGATTTTCAGAGTATGTCTGGCTGTCTGTCTGGCATCGGAGGTTTGGATTCAGGCTTTGGAAAAGCTTTGGGGTTGAAGGGTTTTCAAGGTGAAGGCTTGTGGGGTTTACGATTTCAAGGTCTACGGTTTTATGGTGCACGTGTCCTAACACCCTCCTCCCTCCTACCTACCGCCACCCGCACCACATTCCCTGCTTTGAGTTTTTTAGAGGCCGTTGTGGGCGAAGCAGCAGCAGCAGAACGACTTGCAGTTTGTCATCTTTCCGCTACCACCCATTTCCACCTCCCCACTCTTCCAGAAACCTCTGGCATTGAAGCCACAGCACCAGAACGACCTGAACGGATTCACCTTCCCAGACGTGCTGGCAGAGCTGGCAGAAGCCGCTGCTTCTGGCAACGACCCCGCCGACATCAACATCGGGCCGGACGGCGAACTCCGGAGCTACACCGTGGACGGCAACGGAAGCGGAGAGAAACGCATGCTGCTGAGGGACGACGATGACAGCGACGACGATGAGATGCTGGCTGCTGCAGCAGCAGCGAAGCGGAAGCGGGGGGCGGGAGGAAGAGGAGTGGGAGGAGAGGCGGGGACTAGGCGGCCGTTTCTGATGAATGTGGCTGAGGTGGAGGAGCATCTGCGGCGCCTGTGGATCCGTGAACCCGCCATTTGCAATGCACTCTTCGGCTCCCACTCCTCCACCCACTCCCACGCCCACTCCGCTGCTGGTCTCTCGCCGTACCATCACAAGCGGTACTACTATCAGCAGCAGCAGGGCGTGGGGCAGCAGCATGGGGGCGGTGGTGGTGGTGGGGGCGGTGCTCCGACGTGGCCGTCTGCGTTCTTCCTGCGCTGCCTGCTCGTGCCGCCCAACAAGTTCCGCCCCCCCAACATTATGAACGATATGGTGGGCTGCTTGTAGTGTGTATGGGGCCTGCTTGTATGGGGCTGAATGTGCATGGTGCTGGGTGCAATGGGGCTGACTACTGTCTTCCTGCGCTGCCTGCTCGTGCCGCCCAACAAGTTCCGCTCCGCCCCCCCAACCTGATGAATGACATGGTGGGCTGGCTGGGGCTGAATGCTTGGGTCTTCTTGTATGGGGGACGAAGTGTATGGGGAGGATATGTCATCGTGTCACGTAGCTCCTCTCTCAATTGCCGCCCAACAAGTTCCGCCCCCCCAACCTGATGAACGACATGGTGGGTGGGCTGGCTGGGGCTGAATGCTTGCATTGGGGGCCTGGATGGTTGCTGGGGCCGTGCTTGTATGGGCTGGGCCGCTGGGTGCATGCTGGGCTGCTTGCCTGCTTGTGCCGCCCAACAAGTTCCACCCCCCCAACCTGATGAACGACATGGTGGGCTGGCTGCTTGCTTGCATGAGGCTTGCTTCTATGGGGCTGAATGTGCCTGGGGCTCAAGGTTCAAAAATACGGTTTTCGTACAAAACGGTCTGTTTTTTACGGTCCGTTTTTTACGGTAATTTTCCTAAAAAACGGCGTTTTTTTTATAGAGTACTGTTGTCACCAACAAAAAAAGGGAAAAACAAGGTCGAGTACATTTTCAATCATGCCCCCAAGCGCACGCATGCAAGGAGGGGTTCGTCCTCTTCATGCAAGGAGGGGTTCGTCCTCTTCATGCAAGGAGGGGTTCGTCCTCTTCATGCAAGGAGGGGTTCGTCCTCTTCATGCAAGGAGGGGTTCGTCCTCTTCATGCAAGGAGGGGTTCGTCCTCTTCATGCAAGGAGGGGTTCGTCCTCTTCATGCAAGGAGGGGTTCGTCCTCTTCATGCAAGGAGGGGTTCGTCCTCTTCATGCAAGGAGGGGTTCGTCCTCTTCATCCTGGTACCCTTCGCCATCAATTTGGTCCCTCTCTCCAGAAATTGGCCGATCTTTTCTTCAAACGAAACCACCGTCTGGAACCTTTTTAACCGTTTTTTACGGTCGTTTTTTACGGCCGTTTTTTACGGAAAATTATTATTAAAAAAAAAAAAAAAAAAACGACGTTTTTTTTAACCTTGCTGGGGCTGAATGTGCCTGGGGCTGAATGTGCCTGGGGCTGAATATTATCTTCCTGCGCTGCCTGCTTGTGCCGTCCAACAAGTTCCGCCCCCCCAACATGATGAACGACATGGTGGGCTGGCTGGGGCTGCTTGCTTGCCAGGGCCTGCTTGTACTGGAGTTGCTTGTATGGGGGACGTAGTGTATGGGGATGACTGTCTCATTGTGCTGCATAGCCCCTCTCTCAAACCGCCGCCCAACAAGTTCCGCCCCCCCCCCAACCTGATGAACGATATGGAGGGCTGGTTCATGCTGGGCTGGGCTGGTTGCTGGGGCCTGCTTGCATGGGACTGCTTGCGTGGGGCTTGTCGCATGGTGTATACACCTTTCCGAACTTAGAACACCGAACTTCTTCCCACTCCCCCCCTCTCTCTCTCCCCCTCCCCCACTCTCAGCTGCTGGAGCACGCGCAGAACGTCTTCCTCACGAAAATCCTCGAGGCCAACCTCTTCATCACCCAGATCGGCCGAGAGGCCGCCGCCACTGCTGCCGCCGCTGCCGCCGGTAACGCTGCTACAAGTGCAGGCTCTGCCGGTGCTGGTACTGGTGCTGAGGGTGAGGGGGGCGGTCAGCAGCTGGCGAAGCTGGTGTATACGGCGGGGGTGGATGGCGGAGGGGGAGCGGCGGCGGAGGGGGCGGAGATCGGCGCGACGGAAGTGAGGAAGGCTGCGATCGCGTGGCTGCAGCTGCAGCACCACGTGAACTGCTTCCTGGATAGCAGCCTGAGTGAGTGAATGCAGGGGCATAAGCAGGCTCGGTGAGTGGATGGAAAGGAAGGTGTCACTTAGCCTCATATGGTGTCAGGTGGTGTCACATGGTGTGTCACATGGTGTGTCACATGGTGTCACACGAACCTTCCACCCCTCCCACCTTTTGCTTTTTCTCCTCACATACGTGCAGGCTCGCAGAAGGACCCGGCAAACGGCATACGGCAGCAGCTGGAGAGGAAGGAAGGAGGGGCTGTGCTGTCTGCTGCCATTTACGCAGGTCCTTCCTCCCCTGTGCCCCTTCCAAACCCATCCAACCCCATTCAACTCCCGACCCCCCGTTTCCCCACCAACGCCTGTGCAGGCTCACAGAAGGACCCGGTGAACGGCATACGGCAGCAGCTGGAGAGGAAGGAGGGGCTGTTTCGAATGAACATGATGGGCAAGCGTGTCAATTACGCCTGCCGCTCTGTCATCTCGCCCGACCCTTACATCCAGGTCTGTCTGTGGGGTGTGTTTGCTATGTTTGGCATGCTTGCCATTTTTGGCATGCCAGGCCACCCTCTGAATGAACATGATGGGCGAGCGTGTCAACTACGCCTGCCGCTCTGTCATTTCACCTGACCCCTACATCCAGGTTGGGAATTTGGCATTTTAGGCTCCGTGCATCTACACCCAGTGGGCTAGTTTGTCCTTTCAGCCCCCAAATATCTATCCAGTGGGGTTGGCGCCAGCCACCACCCTGCCTGCCTTGTCACCACCAACCTCCCCCCCTTTCCTGGCATTGCTCTCTACCAAAAATCATTATTCTGCTTCGCAATGCCCGTCCGTCCCCCACACTCTTTGCCCGAATCAAATCAAATCAAATCAGGTGAACGAGATCGGAGTGCCGCCCGTTTTTGCCAAGCGACTCACGTACGCTGAGGTAAGCATGTGCTTGTGAAAGAGAGAGATGCTCAGGTAGTGAAAGAGAGAGATGCTCAGGTAGTGAAAGAGAGAGATGCTCAGGAAGTGAAACAGAGAGATGCTCAGGTAGTGAAAGAGAGAGATGCTCAGGTAGTGAAACAGAGAGATGCTCAGGTAGTGAAACAGAGAGATGCTCAGGTAGTGAAACAGAGAGATGCTCAGGTAGTGAAACAGAGAGATGCTCAGGTAGTGAAAGAGAGAGATGCTCAGGTAGTGAAACAGAGAGATGCTCAGGTAGTGAAACAGAGAGATGCTCAGGTAGTGAAACAGAGAGATGCTCAGGTAGTGTAAGAGAGAGATGCTCAGGGAGTGAAACAGAGAGATGCTCAGGTAGTGAAACAGAGAGATGCTCAGGTAGTGAAAGAGAGAGATGCTCAGGTAGTGAAACAGAGAGATGCTCAGGTAGTGAAAGAGAGAGATGCTCAGGTAGTGAAACAGAGAGATGCTCAGGTAGTGAAAGAGAGAGATGCTCAGGTAGTGAAACAGAGAGATGCTCAGGTAGTGAAACAGAGAGATGCTCAGGTAGTGAAACAGAGAGATGCTCAGGTAGTGAAACAGAGAGATGCTCAGGTAGTGAAAGAGAGAGATGCTCAGGTAGTGAAACAGAGAGATGCTCAGGTAGTGAAACAGAGAGATGCTCATGTAGTGAAAGAGAGAGATGCTCAGGTAGTGAAAGAGAGAGATGCTCAGGTAGTGAAACAGAGAGATGCTCAGGTAGTGAAACAGAGAGATGCTCAGGTAGTGAAACAGAGAGATGCTCAGGTAGTGAAACAGAGAGATGCTCAGGTAGTGAAAGAGAGAGATGCTCAGGTAGTGAAACAGAGAGATGCTCAGGTAGTGAAACAGAGAGATGCTCAGGTAGTGAAAGAGAGAGATGCTCAGGTAGTGAAACAGAGAGATGCTCCGGTTGTGAAACAGAGAGATGCTCAGGTAGATGCTCAGGTAGTGAAACAGAGAGATGCTCAGGTAGTGAAACAGAGAGATGCTCAGGTAGTGAAACAGAGAGATGCTCAGGTAGTGAAACAGAGAGATGCTCAGGTAGTGAAACAGAGAGATGCTCAGGTAGTGAAAGAGAGAGATGCTCAGGTAGTGAAAGAGAGAGATGCTCAGGTAGTGAAACAGAGAGATGCTCAGGTAGTGAAAGAGAGAGATGCTCAGGTAGTGAAAGAGAGAGATGCTCAGGTAGTGAAACAGAGAGATGCTCAGGTAGTGAAAGAGAGAGATGCTCAGGTAGTGAAACAGAGAGATGCTCAGGTAGTGAAAGAGAGAGATGCTCAGGTAGTGAAAGAGAGAGATGCTCAGGTAGTGAAAGAGAGAGATGCTCCGGTAGTGAAACAGAGAGATGCTCAGGTAGTGAAACAGAGAGATGCTCAGGTAGTGAAACAGAGAGATGCTCAGGTAGTGAAACAGAGAGATGCTCAGGTAGTGAAACAGAGAGATGCTCAGGTAGTGAAACAGAGAGATGCTCAGGTAGTGAAACAGGGAGATGCTCAGGTAGTGAAAGAGAGAGATGCTCAGGTAGTGAAACAGAGAGATGCTCAGGTAGTGAAACAGAGAGATGCTCAGGTAGTGAAAGAGAGAGATGCTCAGGTAGTGAAAGAGAGAGATGCTCCAGTTGTGAAACAGAGAGATGCTCAGGTAGTGAAACAGAGAGATGCTCAGGTAGTGAAACAGAGAGATGCTCAGGTAGTGAAAGAGAGAGATGCCCAGGTAGTGAAACAGAGAGATGCTCAGGTAGTGAAACAGAGAGATGCTCAGGTAGTGAAACGGAGAGATGCTCAGGTAGTGAAAGAGAGAGATGCTCAGGTAGTGAAACAGAGAGATGCTCAGGTAGTGAAACAGAGAGATGCTCAGGTAGTGAAACAGAGAGATGCTCAGGTAGTGAAACAGAGAGATGCTCAGGTAGTGAAACAGAGATTCTCAGGTAGTGGCACAGAGAGATGCTCAGGTAGTGAAACAGAGAGATGCTCAGGTAGTGAAAGAGAGAGATGCTCAGGTAGTGAAAGAGAGAGATGCTCAGGTAGTGAAACAGAGAGATGCTCAGGTAGTGAAACAGAGAGATGCTCAGGTAGTGAAACAGAGAGATGCTCAGGTAGTGAAACAGAGAGATGCTCAGGTAGTGAAACAGAGAGATGCTCAGGTAGTGAAACAGAGAGATGCTCAGGTAGTGAAACAGAGAGATGCTCAGGTAGTGAAACAGAGAGATGCTCAGGTAGTGAAACTGAGAGATGCTCCGGTAGTGAAACAGAGAGATGCTCAGGTAGTGAACAGAGAGATGCTCAGGTAGTGAAACAGAGAGATGCTCAGGTAGTGAAACAGAGAGATGCTCAGGTAGTGAAAGAGAGAGATGCTCAGGTAGTGAAAGAGAGAGATGCTCAGGTAGTGAAACAGAGAGATGCTCAGGTAGTGAAAGAGAGAGATGCTCAGGTAGTGAAAGAGAGAGATGCTCAGGTAGTGAAACAGAGAGATGCTCAGGTAGTGAAAGAGAGAGATGCTCAGGTAGTGAAACAGAGAGATGCTCAGGTAGTGAAACAGAGAGATGCTCAGGTAGTGAAAGAGAGAGATGCTCAGGTAGTGAAACAGAGAGATGCTCCGGTTGTGAAACAGAGATATGCTCAGGTAGTGAAACAGAGAGATGCTCAGGTAGTGAAACAGAGAGATGCTCAGGTAGTGAAAGAGAGAGATGCTCAGGTAGTGAAAGAGAGAGATGCTCAGGTAGTGAAACAGAGAGATGCTCAGGTAGTGAAAGAGAGAGATGCTCAGGTAGTGAAAGAGAGAGAAGCTCAGGTAGTGAAACAGAGAGATGCTCAGGTAGTGAAAGAGAGATATGCTCAGGTAGTGAAACAGAGAGATGCTCAGGTAGTGAGACAGAGAGATGCTCAGGTAGTGAAAGAGAGAGATGCTCAGGTAGTGAAACAGAGAGATGCTCCGGTTGTGAAACAGAGAGATGCTCAGGTAGTGAAACAGAGAGATGCTCAGGTATTGAAACAGAGAGATGCTCAGGTAGTGAAACAGAGAGATGCTCAGGTAGTGAAAGAGAGAGATGCTCAGGTAGTGAAAGAGAGAGATGCTCAGGTAGTGAAACGGAGAGATGCTCAGGTAGTGAAAGAGAGAGATGCTCAGGTAGTGAAACAGAGAGATGCTCAGGTAGTGAAACAGAGAGATGCTCAGGTAGTGAAACAGAGAGATGCTCAGGTAGTGAAACAGAGAGATGCTCAGGTAGTGAAACAGAGATTCTCAGGTAGTGGCACAGAGAGATGCTCAGGTAGTGAAACAGAGAGATGCTCAGGTAGTGAAAGAGAGAGATGCTCAGGTAGTGAAAGAGAGAGATGCTCAGGTAGTGAAAGAGAGAGATGCTCAGGTAGTGAAAGAGAGAGATGCTCCAGTTGTGAAACAGAGAGATGCTCAGGTAGTGAAACAGAGAGATGCTCAGGTAGTGAAACAGAGAGATGCTCAGGTAGTGAAAGAGAGAGATGCCCAGGTAGTGAAACAGAGAGATGCTCAGGTAGTGAAACAGAGAGATGCTCAGGTAGTGAAACGGAGAGATGCTCAGGTAGTGAAAGAGAGAGATGCTCAGGTAGTGAAACAGAGAGATGCTCAGGTAGTGAAACAGAGAGATGCTCAGGTAGTGAAACGGAGAGATGCTCAGGTAGTGAAAGAGAGAGATGCTCAGGTAGTGAAACAGAGAGATGCTCAGGTAGTGAAACAGAGAGATGCTCAGGTAGTGAAACAGAGAGATGCTCAGGTAGTGAAACAGAGAGATGCTCAGGTAGTGAAACAGAGATTCTCAGGTAGTGGCACAGAGAGATGCTCAGGTAGTGAAACAGAGAGATGCTCAGGTAGTGAAAGAGAGAGATGCTCAGGTAGTGAAAGAGAGAGATGCTCAGGTAGTGAAACAGAGAGATGCTCAGGTAGTGAAACAGAGAGATGCTCAGGTAGTGAAACAGAGAGATGCTCAGGTAGTGAAACAGAGAGATGCTCAGGTAGTGAAACAGAGAGATGCTCAGGTAGTGAAACAGAGAGATGCTCAGGTAGTGAAACAGAGAGATGCTCAGGTAGTGAAACAGAGAGATGCTCAGGTAGTGAAACTGAGAGATGCTCCGGTAGTGAAACAGAGAGATGCTCAGGTAGTGAACAGAGAGATGCTCAGGTAGTGAAACAGAGAGATGCTCAGGTAGTGAAACAGAGAGATGCTCAGGTAGTGAAAGAGAGAGATGCTCAGGTAGTGAAAGAGAGAGATGCTCAGGTAGTGAAACAGAGAGATGCTCAGGTAGTGAAAGAGAGAGATGCTCAGGTAGTGAAAGAGAGAGATGCTCAGGTAGTGAAACAGAGAGATGCTCAGGTAGTGAAAGAGAGAGATGCTCAGGTAGTGAAACAGAGAGATGCTCAGGTAGTGAAACAGAGAGATGCTCAGGTAGTGAAAGAGAGAGATGCTCAGGTAGTGAAACAGAGAGATGCTCCGGTTGTGAAACAGAGATATGCTCAGGTAGTGAAACAGAGAGATGCTCAGGTAGTGAAACAGAGAGATGCTCAGGTAGTGAAAGAGAGAGATGCTCAGGTAGTGAAAGAGAGAGATGCTCAGGTAGTGAAACAGAGAGATGCTCAGGTAGTGAAAGAGAGAGATGCTCAGGTAGTGAAAGAGAGAGATGCTCAGGTAGTGAAACAGAGAGATGCTCAGGTAGTGAAAGAGAGATATGCTCAGGTAGTGAAACAGAGAGATGCTCAGGTAGTGAGACAGAGAGATGCTCAGGTAGTGAAAGAGAGAGATGCTCAGGTAGTGAAACAGAGAGATGCTCCGGTTGTGAAACAGAGAGATGCTCAGGTAGTGAAACAGAGAGATGCTCAGGTATTGAAACAGAGAGATGCTCACGTAGTGAAACAGAGAGATGCTCAGGTAGTGAAACAGAGAGATGCTCAGGTGGTGAAACAGAGAGATGCTCAGGTAGTGAAACAGAGAGATGCTCAGGTAGTGAAACAGAGAGATGCTCGGGTAGTGAAACAGAGAGATGCTCAGGTAGTGAAACAGAGAGATGCTCAGGTGGTGAAACAGAGAGATGCTCAGGTGGTGAAACAGAGAGATGCTCAGGTAGTGAAACAGAGAGATGCTCAGGTAATGAAACAGAGAGATGCTCAGGTAGTGAAAGAGAGAGATGCTCAGGTAGTGAAACAGAGAGATGCTCAGGTAGTGAAACAGAGAGATGCTCAGGTAGTGAAACAGAGAGATGCTCAGGTAGTGAAAGAGAGAGATGCTCAGGTAGTGAAAGAGAGAGATGCTCAGGTAGTGAAACAGAGAGATGCTCAGGTAGTGAAACAGAGAGATGCTCAGGTAGTGAAAGAGAGAGATGCTCAGGTAGTGAAACAGAGAGATGCTCCGGTTGTGAAACAGAGATATGCTCAGGTAGTGAAACAGAGAGATGCTCAGGTAGTGAAACAGAGAGATGCTCAGGTAGTGAAAGAGAGAGATGCTCAGGTAGTGAAAGAGAGAGATGCTCAGGTAGTGAAACAGAGAGATGCTCAGGTAGTGAAACAGAGAGATGCTCAGGTAGTGAAAGAGAGAGATGCTCAGGTAGTGAAACAGAGAGATGCTCAGGTAGTGAAAGAGAGATATGCTCAGGTAGTGAAACAGAGAGATGCTCAGGTAGTGAGACAGAGAGATGCTCAGGTAGTGAAAGAGAGAGATGCTCAGGTAGTGAAACAGAGAGATGCTCCGGTTGTGAAACAGAGAGATGCTCAGGTAGTGAAACAGAGAGATGCTCAGGTAGTGAAACAGAGAGATGCTCACGTAGTGAAAGAGAGAGATGCTCAGGTAGTGAAACAGAGAGATGCTCAGGTGGTGAAACAGAGAGATGCTCAGGTAGTGAAACAGAGAGATGCTCAGGTAGTGAAACAGAGAGATGCTCGGGTAGTGAAACAGAGAGATGCTCAGGTAGTGAAACAGAGAGATGCTCAGGTGGTGAAACAGAGAGATGCTCAGGTGGTGAAACAGAGAGATGCTCAGGTAGTGAAAGAGAGAGATGCTCAGGTAGTGAAACAGAGAGATGCTCAGGTAGTGAAAGAGAGAGATGCTCAGGTAGTGAAACAGAGAGATGCTCAGGTAGTGAAACAGAGAGATGCTCAGGTAGTGAAACAGAGAGATGCTCAGGTAGTGAAACAGAGAGATGCTCAGGTAGTGAAACAGAGAGATGCTCAGGTAGTGAAACAGAGAGATGCTCAGGTAGTGAAAGAGAGAGATGCTCAGGTAGTGAAAGAGAGAGATGCTCAGGTAGTGAAACAGAGAGATGCTCAGGTAGTGAAAGAGAGAGATGCTCAGGTAGTGAAAGAGAGAGATGCTCAGGTAGTGAAACAGAGAGATGCTCAGGTAGTGAAAGAGAGAGATGCTCAGGTAGTGAAACAGAGAGATGCTCAGGTAGTGAAACAGAGAGATGCTCAGGTAGTGAAAGAGAGAGATGCTCAGGTAGTGAAAGAGAGAGATGCTCCGGTAGTGAAACAGAGAGATTCTCAGGTAGTGAAACAGAGAGATGCTCAGGTAGTGAAACAGAGAGATGCTCAGGTAGTGAAACAGAGAGATGCTCAGGTAGTGAAACAGAGAGATGCTCAGGTAGTGAAACAGAGAGATGCTCAGGTAGTGAAACAGAGAGATGCTCAGGTAGTGAAAGAGAGAGATGCTCAGGTAGTGAAACAGAGAGATGCTCAGGTAGTGAAACAGAGAGATGCTCAGGTAGTGAAACAGAGAGATGCTCAGGTAGTGAAACAGAGAGATGCTCCAGTTGTGAAACAGAGAGATGCTCCAGTTGTGAAACAGAGAGATGCTCAGGTAGTGAAACAGAGAGATGCTCAGGTAGTGAAACAGAGAGATGCTCAGGTAGTGAAAGAGAGAGATGCCCAGGTAGTGAAACAGAGAGATGCTCAGGTAGTGAAACAGAGAGATGCTCAGGTAGTGAAACGGAGAGATGCTCAGGTAGTGAAACAGAGAGATGCTCAGGTAGTGAAACAGAGAGATGCTCAGGTAGTGAAAGAGAGAGATGCTCAGGTAGTGAAAGAGAGAGATGCTCAGGTAGTGAAACAGAGAGATGCTCAGGTAGTGAAACAGAGAGATTCTCAGGTAGTGGCACAGAGAGATGCTCAGGTAGTGAAACAGAGAGATGCTCAGGTAGTGAAACAGAGAGATGCTCAGGTAGTGAAAGAGAGAGATGCTCAGGTAGTGAAACAGAGAGATGCTCAGGTAGTGAAACAGAGAGATGCTCAGGTAGTGAAACAGAGAGATGCTCAGGTAGTGAAACAGAGAGATGCTCAGGTAGTGAAACAGAGAGATGCTCAGGTAGTGAAACAGAGAGATGCTCAGGTAGTGAAACAGAGAGATGCTCGGGTAGTGAAACAGAGAGATGCTCAGGTAGTGAAACAGAGAGATGCTCAGGTAGTGAAACAGAGAGATGCTCAGGTAGTGAAAGAGAGAGATGCTCAGGTAGTGAAAGAGAGAGATGCTCAGGTAGTGAAAGAGAGAGATGCTCAGGTAGTGAAAGAGAGAGATGCTCAGGTAGTGAAAGAGAGAGATGCTCAGGTAGTGAAAGAGAGAGATGCTCAGGTAGTGAAAGAGAGAGATGCTCAGGTAGTGAAACAGAGAGATGCTCAGGTAGTGAAACAGAGAGATGCTCAGGTAGTGAAACAGAGAGATGCTCAGGTAGTGAAAGAGAGAGATGCTCAGGTAGTGAAACAGAGAGATGCTCCGGTTGTGAAACAGAGATATGCTCAGGTAGTGAAACAGAGAGATGCTCAGGTAGTGAAACAGAGAGATGCTCCGGTTGTGAAACAGAGAGATGCTCAGGTAGTGAAACTGAGAGATGCTCAGGTAGTGAAAGAGAGAGATGCTCAGGTAGTGAAACAGAGAGATGCTCAGGTAGTGAGACAGAGAGATGCTCAGGTAGTGAAAGAGAGAGATGCTCAGGTAGTGAAACAGAGGGATGCTCCGGTTGTGAAACAGAGAGATGCTCAGGTAGTGAAACAGAGAGATGCTCAGGTAGTGAAACAGAGAGATGCTCAGGTAGTGAAACAGAGAGATGCTCAGGTAGTGAAACAGAGAGATGCTCAGGTAGTGAAACAGAGAGATGCTCAGGTAGTGAAAGAGAGAGATGCTCAGGTAGTGAAACAGAGAGATGCTCAGGTAGTGAAAGAGAGAGATGCTCAGGTAGTGAAACAGAGAGATGCTCAGGTAGTGAAACAGAGAGATGCTCAGGTAGTGAAAGAGAGAGATGCTCAGGTAGTGAAAGAGAGAGATGCTCCGGTTGTGAAACAGAGAGATGCTCAGGTAGTAAAACAGAGAGATGCTCAGGTAGTGAAACAGAGAGATGCTCACGTAGTGAAACAGAGAGATGCTCAGGTAGTGAAACAGAGAGATGCTCAGGTGGTGAAACAGTGAGATGCTCAGGTAGTGAAACAGAGAGATTATCAGGTAGTGAAACAGAGAGATGCTCAGGTAGTGAAACAGAGAGATGCTTTGGTAGTGAAACAGAGAGATGCTCAGGTGGTGTAACAGAGAGATGCTCAGGTAGTGAAACATAGAGATGCTCAGGTAGTGAAACAGAGAGATGCTCCGGTAGTGAATCAGAGAGATGCTCAGGTAATGAAACAGAGAGATGCTCAGGTAGTGAAAGAGAGAGATGCTCAGGTAGTGAAAGAGAGAGATGCTCAGGTAGTGAAACAGAGAGATGCTCAGGTAGTGAAACGGAGAGATGCTCAGGTAGTGAAACAGAGAGATGCTCAGGTAGTGAAACAGAGAGATGCTCAGGTAGTGAAACAGAGAGATGCTCAGGTAGTGAAACAGAGAGATGCTCAGATAGTGAAACAGAGAGATCCTCAGGTAGTGAAACGGAGAGATGCTCAGGTAGTGAAACAGAGAGATGCTCAGGTAGTGAAAGAGAGAGATGCTCAGGTAGTGAAAGAGAGAGATGCTCAGGTAGTGAAACAGAGAGATGCTCAGGTAGTGAAACGGAGAGATGCTCAGGTAGTGAAACAGAGAGATGCTCAGGTAGTGAAACAGAGAGATGCTCAGGTAGTGAAACAGAGAGATGCTCAGGTAGTGAAACAGAGAGATGCTCAGATAGTGAAACAGAGAGATCCTCAGGTAGTGAAACGGAGAGATGCTCAGGTAGTGAAACAGAGAGATGCTCAGGTAGTGAAACAGAGAGATGCTCAGGTAGTGAAACAGAGAGATGCTCAGGTAGTGAAACAGAGAGATGCTCAGGTAGTGAAACAGAGAGATGCTCAGGTAGTGAAACAGGGAGATGCTCAGGTAGTGAAAGAGAGAGATGCTCAGGTAGTGAAACAGAGAGATGCTCAGGTAGTGAAACAGAGAGATGCTCAGGTAGTGAAAGAGAGAGATGCTCAGGTAGTGAAAGAGAGAGATGCTCCAGTTGTGAAACAGAGAGATGCTCAGGTAGTGAAACAGAGAGATGCTCAGGTAGTGAAACAGAGAGATGCTCAGGTAGTGAAAGAGAGAGATGCCCAGGTAGTGAAACAGAGAGATGCTCAGGTAGTGAAACAGAGAGATGCTCAGGTAGTGAAACGGAGAGATGCTCAGGTAGTGAAAGAGAGAGATGCTCAGGTAGTGAAACAGAGAGATGCTCAGGTAGTGAAACAGAGAGATGCTCAGGTAGTGAAACAGAGAGATGCTCAGGTAGTGAAACAGAGAGATGCTCAGGTAGTGAAACAGAGAGATGCTCAGGTAGTGAAACAGAGATTCTCAGGTAGTGGCACAGAGAGATGCTCAGGTAGTGAAACAGAGAGATGCTCAGGTAGTGAAAGAGAGAGATGCTCAGGTAGTGAAAGAGAGAGATGCTCAGGTAGTGAAACAGAGAGATGCTCAGGTAGTGAAACAGAGAGATGCTCAGGTAGTGAAACAGAGAGATGCTCAGGTAGTGAAACAGAGAGATGCTCAGGTAGTGAAACAGAGAGATGCTCAGGTAGTGAAACAGAGAGATGCTCAGGTAGTGAAACAGAGAGATGCTCAGGTAGTGAAACAGAGAGATGCTCAGGTAGTGAAACTGAGAGATGCTCCGGTAGTGAAACAGAGAGATGCTCAGGTAGTGAACAGAGAGATGCTCAGGTAGTGAAACAGAGAGATGCTCAGGTAGTGAAACAGAGAGATGCTCAGGTAGTGAAAGAGAGAGATGCTCAGGTAGTGAAAGAGAGAGATGCTCAGGTAGTGAAACAGAGAGATGCTCAGGTAGTGAAAGAGAGAGATGCTCAGGTAGTGAAAGAGAGAGATGCTCAGGTAGTGAAACAGAGAGATGCTCAGGTAGTGAAAGAGAGAGATGCTCAGGTAGTGAAACAGAGAGATGCTCAGGTAGTGAAAGAGAGAGATGCTCAGGTAGTGAAACAGAGAGATGCTCAGGTAGTGAAACAGAGAGATGCTCAGGTAGTGAAACAGAGAGATGCTCAGGTAGTGAAAGAGAGAGATGCTCAGGTAGTGAAAGAGAGAGATGCTCAGGTAGTGAAACAGAGAGATGCTCAGGTAGTGAAACAGAGAGATGCTCAGGTAGTGAAAGAGAGAGATGCTCAGGTAGTGAAACAGAGAGATGCTCCGGTTGTGAAACAGAGATATGCTCAGGTAGTGAAACAGAGAGATGCTCAGGTAGTGAAACAGAGAGATGCTCAGGTAGTGAAAGAGAGAGATGCTCAGGTAGTGAAAGAGAGAGATGCTCAGGTAGTGAAACAGAGAGATGCTCAGGTAGTGAAAGAGAGAGATGCTCAGGTAGTGAAAGAGAGAGATGCTCAGGTAGTGAAACAGAGAGATGCTCAGGTAGTGAAAGAGAGATATGCTCAGGTAGTGAAACAGAGAGATGCTCAGGTAGTGAGACAGAGAGATGCTCAGGTAGTGAAAGAGAGAGATGCTCAGGTAGTGAAACAGAGAGATGCTCCGGTTGTGAAACAGAGAGATGCTCAGGTAGTGAAACAGAGAGATGCTCACGTAGTGAAACAGAGAGATGCTCAGGTAGTGAAACAGAGAGATGCTCAGGTGGTGAAACAGAGAGATGCTCAGGTAGTGAAACAGAGAGATGCTCAGGTAGTGAAACAGAGAGATGCTCTGGTAGTGAAACAGAGAGATGCTCAGGTAGTGAAACAGAGAGATGCTCAGGTGGTGAAACAGAGAGATGCTCAGGTGGTGAAACAGAGAGATGCTCAGGTAGTGAAACAGAGAGATGCTCAGGTAGTGAAACAGAGAGATGCTCAGGTAGTGAAAGAGAGAGATGCTCAGGTAGTGAAACAGAGAGATGCTCAGGTAGTGAAACAGAGAGATGCTCAGGTAGTGAAACAGAGAGATGCTCAGGTAGTGAAACAGAGAGATGCTCAGGTAGTGAAACAGAGAGATGCTCAGGTAGTGAAACAGAGAGATGCTCAGGTAGTGAAAGAGAGAGATGCTCAGGTAGTGAAAGAGAGAGATGCTCAGGTAGTGAAACAGAGAGATGCTCAGGTAGTGAAAGAGAGAGATGCTCAGGTAGTGAAAGAGAGAGATGCTCAGGTAGTGAAACAGAGAGATGCTCAGGTAGTGAAAGAGAGAGATGCTCAGGTAGTGAAACAGAGAGATGCTCAGGTAGTGAAACAGAGAGATGCTCAGGTAGTGAAAGAGAGAGATGCTCAGGTAGTGAAAGAGAGAGATGCTCCGGTAGTGAAACAGAGAGATGCTCAGGTAGTGAAACAGAGAGATGCTCAGGTAGTGAAACAGAGAGATGCTCAGGTAGTGAAACAGAGAGATGCTCAGGTAGTGAAACAGAGAGATGCTCAGGTAGTGAAACAGAGAGATGCTCAGGTAGTGAAACAGAGAGATGCTCAGGTAGTGAAACAGAGAGATGCTCAGGTAGTGAAACAGAGAGATGCTCAGGTAGTGAAACAGAGAGATGCTCAGGTAGTGAAACAGAGAGATGCTCAGGTAGTGAAACAGAGAGATGCTCCAGTTGTGAAACAGAGAGATGCTCCAGTTGTGAAACAGAGAGATGCTCAGGTAGTGAAACAGAGAGATGCTCAGGTAGTGAAACAGAGAGATGCTCAGGTAGTGAAAGAGAGAGATGCCCAGGTAGTGAAACAGAGAGATGCTCAGGTAGTGAAACAGAGAGATGCTCAGGTAGTGAAACGGAGAGATGCTCAGGTAGTGAAACAGAGAGATGCTCAGGTAGTGAAACAGAGAGATGCTCAGGTAGTGAAACAGAGAGATGCTCAGGTAGTGAAACAGAGAGATGCTCAGGTAGTGAAACAGAGAGATGCTCAGGTAGTGAAACAGAGAGATTCTCAGGTAGTGGCACAGAGAGATGCTCAGGTAGTGAAACAGAGAGATGCTCAGGTAGTGAAAGAGAGAGATGCTCAGGTAGTGAAAGAGAGAGATGCTCAGGTAGTGAAACAGAGAGATGCTCAGGTAGTGAAACAGAGAGATGCTCAGGTAGTGAAACAGAGAGATGCTCAGGTAGTGAAACAGAGAGATGCTCAGGTAGTGAAACAGAGAGATGCTCAGGTAGTGAAACAGAGAGATGCTCAGGTAGTGAAACAGAGAGATGCTCGGGTAGTGAAACAGAGAGATGCTCAGGTAGTGAAACAGAGAGATGCTCAGGTAGTGAAACAGAGAGATGCTCAGGTAGTGAAAGAGAGAGATGCTCAGGTAGTGAAAGAGAGAGATGCTCAGGTAGTGAAAGAGAGAGATGCTCAGGTAGTGAAAGAGAGAGATGCTCAGGTAGTGAAAGAGAGAGATGCTCAGGTAGTGAAACAGGGAGATGCTCAGGTAGTGAAACAGAGAGATGCTCAGGTAGTGAAACAGAGAGATGCTCAGGTAGTGAAAGAGAGAGATGCTCAGGTAGTGAAACAGAGAGATGCTCCGGTTGTGAAACAGAGATATGCTCAGGTAGTGAAACAGAGAGATGCTCAGGTAGTGAAACAGAGAGATGCTCCGGTTGTGAAACAGAGAGATGCTCAGGTAGTGAAACTGAGAGATGCTCAGGTAGTGAAAGAGAGAGATGCTCAGGTAGTGAAACAGAGAGATGCTCAGGTAGTGAGACAGAGAGATGCTCAGGTAGTGAAAGAGAGAGATGCTCAGGTAGTGAAACAGAGGGATGCTCCGGTTGTGAAACAGAGAGATGCTCAGGTAGTGAAACAGAGAGATGCTCAGGTAGTAAAACAGAGAGATGCTCAGGTAGTGAAACAGAGAGATGCTCAGGTAGTGAAACAGAGAGATGCTCAGGTAGTGAAAGAGAGAGATGCTCAGGTAGTGAAACAGAGAGATGCTCAGGTAGTGAAACAGAGAGATGCTCAGGTAGTGAGACAGAGAGATGCTCAGGTAGTGAAAGAGAGAGATGCTCAGGTAGTGAAACAGAGGGATGCTCCGGTTGTGAAACAGAGAGATGCTCAGGTAGTGAAACAGAGAGATGCTCAGGTAGTGAAACAGAGAGATGCTCAGGTAGTGAAACAGAGAGATGCTCAGGTAGTGAAACAGAGAGATGCTCAGGTAGTGAAACAGAGAGATGCTCAGGTAGTGAAAGAGAGAGATGCTCAGGTAGTGAAACAGAGAGATGCTCAGGTAGTGAAACAGAGAGATGCTCAGGTAGTGAAAGAGAGAGATGCTCAGGTAGTGAAACAGAGAGATGCTCAGGTAGTGAAACAGAGAGATGCTCAGGTAGTGAAAGAGAGAGATGCTCAGGTAGTGAAAGAGAGAGATGCTCCGGTTGTGAAACAGAGAGATGCTCAGGTAGTAAAACAGAGAGATGCTCAGGTAGTGAAACAGAGAGATGCTCACGTAGTGAAACAGAGAGATGCTCAGGTAGTGAAACAGAGAGATGCTCAGGTGGTGAAATAGTGAGATGCTCAGGTAGTGAAACAGAGAGATGATCAGGTAGTGAAACAGAGAGATGCTCAGGTAGTGAAACAGAGAGATGCTTTGGTAGTGAAACAGAGAGATGCTCAGGTGGTGTAACAGAGAGATGCTCAGGTAGTGAAACATAGAGATGCTCAGGTAGTGAAACAGAGAGATGCTCCGGTAGTGAATCAGAGAGATGCTCAGGTAATGAAACAGAGAGATGCTCAGGTAGTGAAAGAGAGAGATGCTCAGGTAGTGAAAGAGAGAGATGCTCAGGTAGTGAAACAGAGAGATGCTCAGGTAGTGAAACGGAGAGATGCTCAGGTAGTGAAACAGAGAGATGCTCAGGTAGTGAAACAGAGAGATGCTCAGGTAGTGAAACAGAGAGATGCTCAGGTAGTGAAACAGAGAGATGCTCAGATAGTGAAACAGAGTGATCCTCAGGTAGTGAAACGGAGAGATGCTCAGGTAGTGAAACAGAGAGATGCTCAGGTAGTGAAACAGAGAGATGCTCAGGTAGTGAAACAGAGAGATGCTCAGGTAGTGAAAGAGAGAGATGCTCAGGTAGTGAAACAGAGAGATGCTCAGGTAGTGAAACAGAGAGATGCTCAGGTAGTGAAAGAGAGAGATGCTCAGGTAGTGAAACAGAGAGATGCTCAGGTAGTGAAACAGAGAGATGCTCAGGTAGTGAAAGAGAGAGATGCTCAGGTAGTGAAAGAGAGAGATGCTCCGGTTGTGAAACAGAGAGATGCTCAGGTAGTGAAACAGAGAGATGCTCAGGTAGTGAAACAGAGAGATGCTCACGTAGTGAAACAGAGAGATGCTCAGGTAGTGAAACAGAGAGATGCTCAGGTGGTGAAACAGTGAGATGCTCAGGTAGTGAAACAGAGAGATTATCAGGTAGTGAAACAGAGAGATGCTCAGGTAGTGAAACAGAGAGATGCTTTGGTAGTGAAACAGAGAGATGCTCAGGTGGTGTAACAGAGAGATGCTCAGGTAGTGAAACATAGAGATGCTCAGGTAGTGAAACAGAGAGATGCTCCGGTAGTGAATCAGAGAGATGCTCAGGTAATGAAACAGAGAGATGCTCAGGTAGTGAAAGAGAGAGATGCTCAGGTAGTGAAAGAGAGAGATGCTCAGGTAGTGAAACAGAGAGATGCTCAGGTAGTGAAACGGAGAGATGCTCAAGTAGTGAAACAGAGAGATGCTCAGGTAGTGAAACAGAGAGATGCTCAGGTAGTGAAACAGAGAGATGCTCAGGTAGTGAAACAGAGAGATGCTCAGATAGTGAAACAGAGAGATCCTCAGGTAGTGAAACGGAGAGATGCTCAGGTAGTGAAACAGAGAGATGCTCAGGTAGTGAAACAGAGAGATGCTCAGGTAGTGAAACAGAGAGATGCTCAGGTAGTGAAACAGAGAGATGCTCAGGTAGTGAAACAGAGAGATGCTCCGGTAGTGAAACAGAGAGATTCTGAGGTAGTGACACAGAGAGATGCTCAGGTTGTGAAACAGAGAGATGCTCAGGTAGTGAAACAGAGAGATGCTCCGGTTGTGAAACAGAAGCCGATGTATTCTCTCTGGTGGGCAGGTGTCATTTTCCTCTTGCTATCGGGTGGCACTGAAGCGTGCTCAGGTAAGCACTTCACGTTTGGGGAACCAGACCTTAACGGATTGGAATGTGGAGAGTTTGCAAGGCTGGTGCTGATCTGATCGGGCCTTTCCCATTGCCCACCCTTTCCACACTCCTCCTCTCCCTACCTACCCCGCCGTCCTCCGCCCCACTCTCCCCTATCAATCCACTTTTGAGTCGACTCAAAAGCTTTCCACACTCCTCCTCTCCCTACCTACCCTGCCGTTCTCCGCCCCACTCTCCCCTATCAATCCACTTTTGAGTCGACTCAAAAGCTTTCCACACTCCTCCTCTCCCTACCTACCCCGCCGTCCTCCGCCTCACTCTCCCCTAGCAATCCACTTTTGAGTCGACTCAAAAGCTTTCCACACTCCTCTCCCTACCTACCCCGCCGTCCTCCGCCCCACTCTCCCCTATCAATCCAGACCGTGACAGATTGGAACGTGGAGTACGAGAGGGGGCAGCTCGTCTCCCTTGCGCACCTCATCCTCGACCGCCGGAGAGCCCTCGCCCGCACGCTCCTCTCCACCCCATTCTCAATGCCCTCTCTCTCCTTTCCACTCTCTCCTTTCCTTCCTGCCCTGCCCTCCTCTTACCCTGCCCCATCCCCTCTGGCCCTACTCCACCAGACCGTGACAGACTGGAACGTGGAGTATCTGGCACGACTCGTGGAGAACGGGGCGGACGTGTTACCCGGAGCCACACACGTGGAGGACGAGAGGGGGCAGCTCGTCTCCCTCGCCCACCTCAACCCCGACCGCCGGAGGGCCCTCGCCCGCACGCTGCTCTCCACCCCCTCTGCTGCTGCGCTCGCGGCCAATCAGCGCGCGACAGGTGTCCACGTGAAGGACGGCGAGGGGAAGAAAGGGGGAAGGGAGGGAGCGGCGGTGGAGGGGAAGGGGGTGCATGTGCGGCGCGCGATGGTGAAGTCGGTGTATCGGCACATGAGGGATGGAGATGTGGTGCTGGTGAACCGACAGGTGATTAAAGCAATGATCTACGGGTTGTTTGTGGGGAAGGGCATTGTGTGTGCGGTGATTCTTGAGCTGAATTTAACGCGCGATGGTGAAGTCGGTCGGTGTATCGGCACATGAGGGATGGAGATGTGGTGCTGGTGAACCGACAGGTGAGAAAAGCAATGATCTACGGGTTGTTTGTGGGGAAGGGCATTGTGTGTGCGGTGATTCTTGAGTTGACTTTAACGCGCGATGGTGAAGTCGGTGTATCGGCACATGAGGGATGGAGATGTGGTGCTGGTGAACCGACAGGTGAGAAAAGCAATGATCTACGGGTTGTTTGTGGGGAAGGGCATTGTGTGTGCGGTGATTCTTGAGTTGACTTTAACGCGCGATGGTGAAGTCGGTGTATCGGCACATGAGGGATGGAGATGTGGTGCTGGTGAACCGACAGGTGAGAAAAGCAATGATCTACGGGTTGTTTGTGGGGAAGGGCATTGTGTGTGAGGTGATTCTTGAGTTGACTTTAACGCGCGATGGTGAAGTCGGTGTATCGGCACATGAGGGATGGAGATGTGGTGCTGGTGAACCGACAGGTGAGAAAAGCAATGATCTACGGGTTGTTTGTGGGGAAGGGCATTGTGTGTGAGGTGATTCTTGAGTTGACTTTAACGCGCGATGGTGAAGTCGGTGTATCGGCACATGAGGGACGGAGGCATGGTGCTGGTGAACCGACAGGTGAGAAAAGCAATGATCTACGGGTTGTTTGTGGGGAAGGGCATTGTGTGTGAGGTGATTCTTGAGTTGACTTTAACGCGCGATGGTGAAGTCGGTGTATCGGCACATGAGGGACGGAGACATGGTGCTGGTGAACCGACAGGTGAAGGAAAGCCTTTCTTTTTTGGGTCAAACCTAAAAGTTGCCGTGTATCGGCACGGCACATGAGGGACGGAGACGTCGTGCTGGTTAACCGACAGGTGAGATGGTTGAGTTGAGTCGTGTGGTGTAGCAGTGAGGTAAAGGTGAATGAATTTGACTCAACATAAACATGCGATGGTGTGAAGCAGTGAGGTAAAGGTGAATGAATTTGACTCAACATAAACATGCGATGGTGTGAAGTGAAGTCGGTGTGTCGGCACATGCGGGACGGGGATGTGGTGCTGGTGAACCGACAGGTGAGGAAGATTTGACTTGAAAATCAAGCCAGATGTTACCATGTGCATCTGCGTATGCGGGATGCTATAAAGCCTTCTGAACCCCGCTGGGCCAGCCGGCCAGATACTAAGTCCATCCATCCCACGTTGCTTCATACTTAACCTGCTTCCCTTGGCTATTTTTCATCTTCTTCTTGCCCCTGATCTTCCTCCCCTCTCCCTGCAGCCCACGCTGCATCGCCCCGGTATCATGGCGCACCGAGTGAAGATTCTCAAGGGGGAGAAGACCCGTCGACACATGCTTAACCCCCTTTTCTAGCATATTCTCTCCCTTCTTCCAACCCCGCTCCCTTCCTCCCCCTTTTTCTTGTCCTTCTCTTCTCGCTCTCCCCTGCAGCCCACGCTGCATCGCCCTGGCATCATGGCGCATCAAGTGAAGATCCTCAAGGGGGAGAAGAAAAGACCGTTCGCCTGAATCACACTCAAGCCTTCTTTCTTCCTGATTCCTCTCCCTGCTTTCCCCCTCTCTGCATCCAGCCCACGCTGCATCGCCCTGGTATCATGGCGCACCGAGTGAAGATCCTCAAGGGGGAGAAGACCCTTCGCCTGCACTATGCCAACTGCAAGTGAGTTGCTTCTTGAGGCGCCTCAACATAGACTCCTCAAGTGTGGGTGGGTGGGTGGGTGATTGGGAGGGACAATGCGATGCCTGACCCACCCACTCAGAATAGACTCAAGGGGGAGAAGACCCTTCGCCTGCACTATGCCAACTGCAAGTGAGTTACCCACTGCTTTCACGCAGCATGTGCGTGTGCCGTGTACTGTCAATTGCAGTGCCAGTGCATCCCTGTTCACCTCTATAAACCCCTTATCGCCCCTGCTCACCCTCCTTCACCCCTCTTAACCGCAGTGTGTACAACGCGGACTTTGACGGGGACGAGATGAATGTGCATCTGCCTCAGGACGCCCTGGGGCGAGCAGAAGCGTACTCGATAGTAGACGCTGACTTACAGTACATACTTCCCACCAACGGCCTGCCTGCCAGAGGGCTCATTCAGGTGAGGGTCCTGGTGGGGAAGGTTGTATCCGTGTGTTCTGTCAACTCACACACAGCCTCATACTCTCTACCTGCCCATACTCTTCCCTTCCTCTCTCCCCTCCTCCCCTTCGTCCCACCCACACCCACCACATCAGGACCACATTATAGCAGCTACTCTTCTCACATCACATCACCCGGAACGCTCCTCACGCGCACAGAGTTCCAGCACCTGCTCTTCTCTGCCTGCCCATTCACATGTCTTTCCTCTTCTCCCTTCTGCTTACTTACTCTCTCCCACACTTATTCCCGTCAGGACCACATCATAGCAGCAACTCTCCTCACCTCACCAGGAACGCTGCTCACGCGCACAGAGTTCCAGCACCTGCTCTTCTCCGCCTGCATCCCACCCCCCGACACCCCCTTCCAATCCCCCCCTGCCAAACCCGCCACTGCCGCTCCTGCTGTCGCTGGTGCTGCTGGTGCAACAGCTGCTGCTGATGGTGCTGCTGCTGCTGCTGCTGCTGTTCCCGCCGCTGCTGCTCCTGGTACTGCGGCTGTCAGTCCACCTCCTGCTGACGCCACCACCACTGCCACCACCACCATAACCGCCGTCCCCCCTGCTTCCGCTACCGCCACTGTCGCACCAGCAGCCGCATCAGCAGTGGAGCAGGCAGCAGTGGGCATGGCAGCAGCAGCAGCAGCAGCAGCAGCAGGCACAAAAGCAGCGCCCAGAATCCGCGCTCTTTCTGATCCCGGTGCTGCCATCACCATGCCGCCCCCTGCTGTGTTGAAGCCGCACCTGCTGTGGACTGGCAAGCAGGTGAGTGTGGGGAGAGCTGGTGAGCGTGGGGAGAGCTGGTGAGGGAGAGGAGAGCTGGTGAGCGTGGGGATGGAGCAGGTGAGGGCGAGGAGGAGGGGAGGGCAAAGGAACAAGGGTACTGGTGCTGCTGCCATCACCATGCCGCACCCTGCTGTGTTGAAGCCGCAGCCGCTGTGGACTGGCAAGCAGGTGAGCATGCAGCTATGTGGACATGGACGCATCCAGCGTCCTATGCGCCAGCGTCCAGTTGCTGACGTATATACGCTGGACGCTCCGATGTCTGGGCCTGGACGCTTGGGGCGGGCAGGTGAAATGTTTTTCCGGGCAGGGAGAAAAGAATGGGGAGAGATGGCGGAAAGAGGGGGTCGACGGCAAAATACCATACTTTTCCGAGCGTCCAGCGTCCAACGAGCGTTCAGCGTCCAGCGTCCGACGAGCGTTCAGCGTCCAGCGTACGGACACTAGCGCATATACGCTGGACGCTCACTGTCCAAAGCGTATCTGCCCACATGGCATGCAGGAACGAATGAGGGCATCGTGAGATTTGTTTTTTTTTTCGTCGGCAAGTGTGACAGTTTGTTCAACTCTCTCTCTGCTGGCTGCTCCCATTTTCCTCTCCCGTTCTCCGCTTTTTGGCAGCTCCTTCCTCTCTTTCCCCGCCTCCCCAGGTGATCACGGCGCTGCTGCTACAGCTGCTGACTGACGGAGGGCCAGCAGGCAATGACAATGGAGGTGGCGTGCAAGGTGGTCTTTTCTTCCCCCTTTCTTCCCCTCCTCTCATGCCTTTTCTTCCCCTTTTCCACTCCCATGCTCCCCTCCCGTGCTCACTCCTCTCCCTCCCCTTCTCCTCCCAGGTGATCACGGCGCTGCTGCAGCTGCTGACGGAGGGGCAGCAACCAATGACAATGGAGGTGGCGTGCAAGGTGTCGGCGCGCTATTGGGGGAAGGGCCGGCAGGAGGACGCGACACTGCGGGTGAGTGTGGTGTGTGGCTGCAAGAGCAGAGTGCTGGAAAGATGACATGACAGACTGATGATCACACTTGCAAGTCAGATGAGACCTTCGGACCTTGGGGTGTAGTTTTGAGGCGCCTCAGAACTAGTTTCGCTCTTAGGTGCCTCAAAACGACACTGCGGGTGAGTGTGGTGTGTGGCTGCAAGAGCAGAGTGCTGGACGATAGTGGAAGACACACACCACACTCTTCGGATGAGATAAGACCCTGCGGGCGAGGAGGTGACTTTTGAGTCGACTCAAAAGTCTGTCTGCACCAACCACCCCACCAGCAGATGACTTTTGAGTCGACTCAAAAGTCACCTGGTGTGTGGCTGCAAGAGCAGAGTGCTGGACGATAGTGGAAGACACCACTCTTTGGGTGAGATAAGACCCTGCGGGCGAGGAGGTGGCAGGAGAATGTGACTTTGCACATGACAAGATACCTTAGCTGCAGAAGTAAAGGGCTAGCAGACGGGAGGAAAATGCACCTCCTCTGCTGGTGAGCAGCTGTTAGTTCGATCACTCAAGCCAATGCATCCTCACATTTTGCCGAACAAATCACCGCCCTCCAAATGTCCCAACCAGGTGCGGGGCGGCGAGGTGGTGACAGGGGTGTTTGACAAGGCGCAGTTCGCCCGCTACGGCCTCGTGCACTGCTTTCAGGAGCTCTACGGCTGCCCTGCTGCCGGCAAGCTGCTCTCCTCGCTCAGCCGCCTCCTTACCACCTTCTTGCAGGTAAGAGCTTAATCCTAATATTAGTATTGTTATTATTGCTTTGATTTGTGTGCGGTTCATCTGCGGGGTGGGCAATCTCTGCGGCTCTTCCCACCTCCCACCTCACTCTCCACTCCGCCTCAGATCTGTATGATTCGCAGGTTCATCTGCGGGGTGGGAAATCTCTGCGGCTCTTCCCACCTCCCACCTCACTCTCCACTCCGCCTCAGATCTGTATGATTCGCAGGTTCATCTGCGGGGTGGGCAATCTCTGCGGCCCTTCCCACCTCCCACCTCACTCTCCACTCCGCCTCAGATCTGTATGATTCGCAGGTTCATCTGCGGGGTGGGCAATCTCTGCGGCTCTTCCCACCTCCCACCTCACTCTCCACTCCGCCTCAGATCTGTATGATTCGCAGGTTCATCTGCGGGGTGGGCAATCTCTGCGGCTCTTCCCACCTCCCACCTCACTCTTTGCGCCGGATTCGCAGGTTCATATGCAGGGTGGGCAATCTGCGGCTGACGCATGTCTTTGACCCCCAACCTGGTTTCCCCCCTTACACTACCGCACCCCTCCCCAACCCCCTCATGTATGTTCAGATCCGCGGGTTTACCTGCGGCGTGGGCGATTTGCTGTTAACAGCCCCGGCAGAGGCGGAGCGAGAGGCAATCATATCGCGGGCGGACAGCATTGGGGACCCGGTGCACGCTCAATTTGTTGGGCTCACTGGGAAGAAGGCCGAGAGTGAGTCTCAGTAGTTACTCTATAGTAACTATTGCAATCATATCACGGGCGAACAGCATTGGGGACCCGGTGCATGCTCAATTTGTTGTGCTCACTGGGAAGAAGGCCGAGAGTGAGTCTCAGTCAGTAGTTACTCTATAGTAACTATTGCAATCATATCACGAGCGGACAGCATTGGGGACCCGGTGCACGCTCAATTTGTTGGGCTCACTGGGAAGAAGGCCGAGAGTCAGTTGTTCTCTCAGAAGTTGCGGTAAATTCTCTAGGAGTAACTGTCTAGATTGTATCGCGCGCAGACAGAATTGGGGATTCCGCCGTGTGTGCGCAGTTCGTGGCGCTCGCTGGGAAGAAGGCCGAGAGTGAGTCTCAGTAGTTCGTGGCGCTCGCTGGGAAGAAGGCCGAGAGTGAGTCTCGGTAGTTCGTGGCGCTCGCTGGGAAGAAGGCCGAGAGTGAGTCTCAGTAGTTCGTGGCGCTCGCTGGGAAGAAGGCCGAGAGTGAGTCTCAGTAGTTCGTGGCGCTCGCTGGGAAGAAGGCCGAGAGTGAGTCTCAGTAGTTCGTGGCGTTCGCTGGGAAGAAGGCCGAGAGTGAGTCTCAGTTCGTGGCGCTCGCTGGGAAGAAGGCCGAGAGTGAGTCTCAGTTCGTGGCGCTCGCTGGGAAGAAGGCCGAGAGTGAGTCTCAGTTCGTGGCGCTCGCTGGGAAGAAGGCCGAGAGTGAGTCTCAGTTCGTGGCGCTCGCTGGGAAGAAGGCCGAGAGTGAGTCTGAGTTCGTGGCGCTCGCTAGGAAGAAGGCCGAGAGTGAGTCTCAGTTCGTGGCGCTCGCTGGGAAGAAGGCCGAGAGTGAGTCTCAGTTCGTGGCGCTCGCTGGGAAGAAGGCCGAGAGTGAGTCTCAGTTCGTGGCGCTCGCTGGGAAGAAGGCCGAGAGTGAGTCTCAGTAGTTCGTGGCGCTCGCTGGGAAGAAGGCCGAGAGTGAGTCTCAGTTCGTGGCGCTCGCTGGGAAGAAGGCCGAGAGTGAGTCTCAGTTCGTGGCGCTCGCTGGGAAGAAGGCCGAGAGTGAGTCTCAGTTCGTGGCGCTCGCTGGGAAGAAGGCCGAGAGTGAGTCTCAGCTCGTGGCGCTCGCTGGGAAGAAGGCCGAGAGTGAGTCTCAGTAGTTCGTGGCGCTCGCTGGGAAGAAGGCCGAGAGTGAGTCTCAGTTCGTGGCGCTCGCTGGGAAGAAGGCCGAGAGTGAGTCTCAGTTCGTGGCGCTCGCTGGGAAGAAGGCCGAGAGTGAGTCTCAGTTCGTGGCGCTCGCTGGGAAGAAGGCCGAGAGTGAGTCTCAGTTCGTGGCGCTCGCTGGGAAGAAGGCCGAGAGTGAGTCTCAGTTTGTGGCGCTCGCTGGGAAGAAGGCCGAGAGTGAGTCTCAGTTCGTGGCGCTCGCTGGGAAGAAGGCCGAGAGTGAGTCTCAGTTCGTGGCGCTCGCTGGGAAGAAGGCCGAGAGTGAGTCTCAGCTCGTGGCGCTCGCCGGGAAGAAGGCCGAGAGTGAGTCTCAGTTCGTGGCGCTCGCTGGGAAGAAGGCCGAGAGTGAGTCTCAGTTCGTGGCGCTCGCTGGGAAGAAGGCCGAGAGTGAGTCTCAGTTCGTGGCGCTCGCTGGGAAGAAGGCCGAGAGTGAGTCTCAGTTCGTGGCGCTCGCTGGGAAGAAGGCCGAGAGTGAGTCTCAGTTCGTGGCGCTCGCTGGGAAGAAGGCCGAGAGTGAGTCTCAGCTCGTGGCGCTCGCTGGGAAGAAGGCCGAGAGTGAGTCTCAGTTCGTGGCGCTCGCTGGGAAGAAGGCCGAGAGTGAGTCTCAGTTCGTGGCGCTCGCTGGGAAGAAGGCCGAGAGTGAGTCTCAGTTCGTGGCGCTCGCTGGGAAGAAGGCCGAGAGTGAGTCTCAGTTCGTGGCGCTCGCTGGGAAGAAGGCCGAGAGTGAGTCTCAGTTCGTGGCGCTCGCTGGGAAGAAGGCCGAGAGTGAGTCTCAGTTCGTGGCGCTCGCTGGGAAGAAGGCCGAGAGTGAGTCTCAGTTTGTGGCGCTCGCTGGGAAGAAGGCCGAGAGTGAGTCTCAGTTCGTGGCGCTCGCTGGGAAGAAGGCCGAGAGTGAGTCTCAGTTCGTGGCGCTCGCTGGGAAGAAGGCCGAGAGTGAGTCTCAGCTCGTGGCGCTCGCCGGGAAGAAGGCCGAGAGTGAGTCTCAGTTCGTGGCGCTCGCTGGGAAGAAGGCCGAGAGTGAGTCTCAGTTCGTGGCGCTCGCTGGGAAGAAGGCCGAGAGTGAGTCTCAGTTCGTGGCGCTCGCTGGGAAGAAGGCCGAGAGTGAGTCTCAGTTCGTGGCGCTCGCTGGGAAGAAGGCCGAGAGTGAGTCTGAGTTCGTGGCGCTCGCTGGGAAGAAGGCCGAGAGTGAGTCTCAGTTCGTGGCGCTCGCTGGGAAGAAGGCCGAGAGTGAGTCTCAGCTCGTGGCGCTCGCTGGGAAGAAGGCCGAGAGTGAGTCTCAGTTCGTGGCGCTCGCTGGGAAGAAGGCCGAGAGTGAGTCTCAGTTCGTGGCGCTCGCTGGGAAGAAGGCCGAGAGTGAGTCTCAGTTCGTGGCGCTCGCTGGGAAGAAGGCCGAGAGTGAGTCTCAGCTCGTGGCGCTCGCCGGGAAGAAGGCCGAGAGTGAGTCTCAGTTCGTGGCGCTCGCTGGGAAGAAGGCCGAGAGTGAGTCTCAGTTCGTGGCGCTCGCTGGGAAGAAGGCCGAGAGTGAGTCTGAGTTCGTGGCGCTCGCTGGGAAGAAGGCCGAGAGTGAGTCTCAGTTCGTGGCGCTCGCTGGGAAGAAGGCCGAGAGTGAGTCTGAGTTCGTGGCGCTCGCTGGGAAGAAGGCCGAGAGTGAGTCTCAGCTCGTGGCGCTCGCTGGGAAGAAGGCCGAGAGTGAGTCTCAGCTCGTGGCGCTCGCTGGGAAGAAGGCCGAGAGTGAGTCTCAGTTCGTGGCGCTCGCTGGGAAGAAGGCCGAGAGTGAGTCTCAGTTCGTGGCGCTCGCTGGGAAGAAGGCCGAGAGTGAGTCTCAGTTCGTGGCGCTCGCTGGGAAGAAGGCCGAGAGTGAGTCTCAGCTCGTGGCGCTCGCTGGGAAGAAGGCCGAGAGTGAGTCTCAGTTCGTGGCGCTCGCTGGGAAGAAGGCCGAGAGTGAGTCTCAGTTCGTGGCGCTCGCTGGGAAGAAGGCCGAGAGTGAGTCTCAGTTCGTGGCGCTCGCTGGGAAGAAGGCCGAGAGTGAGTCTCAGCTCGTGGCGCTCGCCGGGAAGAAGGCCGAGAGTGAGTCTCAGTTCGTGGCGCTCGCTGGGAAGAAGGCCGAGAGTGAGTCTCAGTTCGTGGCGCTCGCTGGGAAGAAGGCCGAGAGTGAGTCTGAGTTCGTGGCGCTCGCTGGGAAGAAGGCCGAGAGTGAGTCTCAGTTCGTGGCGCTCGCTGGGAAGAAGGCCGAGAGTGAGTCTGAGTTCGTGGCGCTCGCTGGGAAGAAGGCCGAGAGTGAGTCTCAGTTCGTGGCGCTCGCTGGGAAGAAGGCCGAGAGTGAGTCTCAGCTCGTGGCGCTCGCTGGGAAGAAGGCCGAGAGTGTGTCTCAGTTCGTGGCGCTCGCTGGGAAGAAGGCCGAGAGTGAGTCTCAGTTCGTGGCGCTCGCTGGGAAGAAGGCCGAGAGTGAGTCTCAGTTCGTGGCGCTCACTGGGAAGAAGGCCGTGAGTGAGTGCCCTGATCCCACTATGGCCAGTGCCTCCCTCAGTGGCTCAGTGGAGTGAGTCTAGTTCTGAGGCGAGCCATAGTGGGATCAGGACGCCGCTCCAGCGTCCTCTCTGCTCTCTGCTACTGCAGCCCTTCGAAACATGAGTCAGGGTGACCCCTGGGATACCGTTCTGAGGCGAGCCATAGTGGGATCAGGGTAACGCAGGGGAGCTGCAAGGGACAGTGTGCCCGCTCACTCTGTGTGGCTCACTGAATGACGCCCACCCTCAGCAACGTCACCACCACCGCGACCTCAGTGCTCACTCACTCACCCCCGTCCCCTTCCCTTCCTCTTTGCCGTTCCCCCCACCCTTTTCTTCCCCTTTTTCCGTTTTCCTTTTCCTTCCCCTTCCCCTTTCCTCACTTTTCATTCCGTTTTGCTGCTATCGCAGCTGCAAACAAGGAGTGGGTGAGGGAGAACGTGGCACTGCAACTGCGCACGCGGAGAGACGCTGCAACAGCAGCGCTGGACAACCAAATGACCTCCGCCCTCAGCAAGGTCCACAACAACCGCAACCTCTGCCTTTTCTCACTCACCATCCCTCCCTTTTCCTCCCCTCTCCCTTCCCCTTTTCCTCCCCTCCCCCTTCCCCTTTGCCCTCCCCTCTCCCTTCCCCTTTGCCCTCCCCTCCCCCTTCCCCTTTGCCCTCTCCCTTCCCCTTTGCCCTCTCCCTTCCCCTTTTCCTCCCCTCCCCCTTCCCCTTTGCCCTCCCCCTTCCCCTTTTCCCTCCCCCTTCTCTTTCCCTTTGCCCTTTGCTTCCCCTTCCCCTGTTCTCCACTTTGGTTTCCTTCCGCCATTTCGCAGCTGCAAACAAGGAGTGGGTGAGGGAGCACGTGGCCCTGCAGCTGCGCACGCGAAAGGATGCCGCCACAGCAGCGCTCGACAACCGAATGACCTCCGCCCTCAGCAAGGTCACCACCGCCGCAACCTCCGCCGCGCTGCCCGACGGGCAGCTGAAACCTTTCCCGGCCAATTGCATGTCGCTGATGACGGTCACGGGCGCCAAGGGCAGCGGTGTGAATTTCAACCAGATTGCGGTGCTGCTGGGTCAGCAGGAGCTGGAGGGGAAGCGTGTGCCAAGAATGGCGTCGGGGAAGACTCTGCCTTGCTTTGAGGCGTGGAGCAGCGAGGCCAGAGCGGGCGGGTTCATCGCGGATCGGTTTCTCACTGGGTTGCGCCCGCAGGAGTACTACTTCCACTGCATGGCAGGCAGAGACGGGTGAGTGAGTGAGTGAGTGTGTAACTGTGAGTGTGTGAGCGTGTGTGCGTGTGTGAGCGAGTGTTGCTGTTTAGTGTGGCCCTGTAGTGCTGTCAATGCTGGGGCAGCAGGAGCTGGAGGGGAAGCGAGCGCCAAGGATGGCGTTGGGGAAGACTCTGCCGTACTTTGAGGCGTGGAGCAGCGAGGCCAGAGCAGGCAGGTTCATTGCGGATCGGTTTTTGACTGGTTTGCGCCCGCAGGAGTATTACTTTCACTGCATGGCAGGGCGCGACGGGTGAGTGCCCAAGTGCTGCTGGTTCATGTAGTGAGTAAGGTAAGGGCGGTGAGAAGGAGCAGGTGAGAGCTGCTTCACCTGCCGGGGCAGCAGGAGCTGGAGGGGCGGCGAGTGCCGCGCATGGCGTTGGGGAAGACTCTGCCGTACTTTGAGGCGTGGAGCAGCGAGGCGAGAGCAGGCGGGTTCATCGCGAGATCGGTTTCTGACTGGGTTGCGCACGCAGGAGTATTACTTTCACTGCATGGCAGGCAGAGACGGGTGAGTGCGTGAGTGTGAGCGAATGCTGGTAGATGGTGGGTCTCTGTGCGATGGAAATTGAGGCGAGGGCGGGCAGGTTCATTGCGGACAGATTTCTGACGGGTCTGCTGCACGTGCAGGAATATGGTAGAGACGGGCGAGTGAGTCCATGCCTCCCGTTCCTATCTTCCCCCCAATTATCCCTTCAAACCCCAGCCTTGTGGACACGACAGTAAAAACATCCCGCAGTGGGTACCTGCAGCGGTGCGTGGTGAAGAACTTGCAGGGGCCGAGGGTGCATTATGACTACAGCGTGTGGGACAGCGCACTTATGCTGCATGCCTCATCTCCATTGTCCCCCTCATTCCCCTTATGCTTGCCCCATGAATCCCAGACTGGTGGATGCAACTGTCAAGACCTCCCGCAGTGGGTACCTGCAGCGGTGTCTGGTGAAGAACCTGCAGGGGCTGCGAGTGCGCTACGACTACAGCGTGAGAGGCATGCCCTTATCGTCTTGTCCCTGCCTTCCATTCCCCGAACCCCTTGTGCGCGCCCCTAACTTTCCGCCAGCCTGGTCGACACCACAGTCAAGACCTCCCGCAGTGGGTACCTGCAGCGGTGCCTGGTGAAGAACCTGGAGGGGCTGCGAGTGCACTACGACTACAGCGTGCGGGACAGCGATGCATCCATCGTGCAGTTCCGATACGGAGAAGATGCCATTGACACCAGCCGGACGTCGTTCCTCACCAACTTTGAATTCATCAAGGAGGTTTGTGATACATGCTCTGTGTGTGTGCTGTGCGTTCTTGTAGTGGGGCAATTGAAAAAAAACGCAAAATTTTCCTCTGTTCCCCCCCTCCCTCCCTCCGTCCCTCTCTCCCTCCCTCCCTCTTCTCTCCTCTGTGAAACCCTGAAACCCTGTATGGAACCCAAACCCTAAAACTCCTCAAACAACAGAATGAGCAACAGGTGGCATCGGACCTCCGCCTGGACGAAGCTAAGGATCTCGGCCTCGAGACAATGCTAACCCGTGCCACCGCCACTGACCCAACAAACCCCACCCCTCCCCTATCTGAAACCCTGAAACCCCCCAAACAACAGAATGAGCAACAGGTGGCTTCGGCCCTCCGCTTGGACGAAGCCAAAACTCTCGGCCTTGAGACAATGCCTCCTCGCGCCACTGCAGACCCAGCAGAAACAGCAACAGAGGCAGCAGAGGTGATGGATGTGGAGTGCCCAGGGTCGAAACTCGGTGTCGTTTCCCCCGCCTTTGAAGCTGCTTCCGAGAAGTTTCTGCAGTCGGCGGTTCTGGGGAAGGGCGCGAAGGGAGCCGGGAAGAAGGGGAAGAAGAAGGATGCAGAGCGGTTGAGAGAGGTGCTGGAGATGAAGTACCTGGCGTCTACTGTGCAGCCAGGGGAGCCGGTGGGGGTGCTGGCGGCTCAGTCAGTTGGGGAGCCCTCCACACAGATGACGTGAGTGCAGGGTTGGCATGAGTGAAAGGCAATATGTCAGTCTGTATACCCTGGGGGTGCTGGCGGCTCATTCAGTCGGGGAGCCTTCCTCACAGATGACGCGAGTGGCTAGCTGCCGCGGGTGCTGAGGCTGAGCATGTTCCACATAGGCAAGGCACCACTGCACTGGACTGCACCGCACTGCAACATGTTCCTGGTGGGATGAAACAAATAAGACTCTTGGAACTAGATGGTTGCCATGCCATGCCATGCCACACATGGTTCTGTCTTGCTGTAATTTCTTGTGGGGTCACACATTTCCCATTCCACACAACCCCCCTCCCCCCACCCCAGGCTGAACACGTTCCACTTCGCAGGGCGAGGAGAGGCGAACGTGACTCTCGGCATTCCCCGCCTGCGTGAGATCCTCATGACCGCTGCTCGCAACATCTCCACGCCTGTCATGGACTGCCCCTTGCTGCCCGGCCGCACCCTGTGAGTGCATTGCGGGTCGTGTGTGGGTCTCTCAGTGGGTCTGTCTGTTAAGGCCATATGTGCCCCTCACAACATCTCCACGCCTGTCATGGACTGCCCTCTGCTGCCCGGCCGCACCCTGTGAGTGCCTTGTGCTCGTGTGTGATTCACTCCGGGCATTCCCGGCTGAGAGAGTTTTGAGACGTCTCAAATCCTCATGACAGCTGCTCGCAACATCTCCACGCCTGTCATGGACTGCCCCTTGCTGCCCGGCTGCACCCTGTGAGTCCTTTGCTGCGGAATTCTCTCTGAGTTCGCCTGTGAAGCTATATATGCCCCTCACAACATCTCCACGCCTGTCATGGACTGCCCTCTGCTGCCAGGCCGCACCCTGTGAGTGGTTCTGTGGGTCGTGTAGTGAAGGCCCGTTGTTTCACACCCATGAATTCTTTCACTTCTAGAGTACTTGTCCCTTCACTTTGAGTCTGTGTAAGTCGAGCAACATCAGCCCGTTTCCTTCCACCCCCCTCCAACCCCTTCCAACCATCCCCCTTCCACCTCCTTCCACCCTTTTCCATCCCCTTCCACCTCCCTCCCTCCAGTGAGGACGCCCAGCACATAGCCAACAAGCTCCGTCGGATCACAATGGCCGAACTGATCTCAGCCATCCATGTGTCAGAGCGCACAAATCTGGTGCAGATCAACGGTGGAGATCGCAACTCAAGGCGCTACATCATTCGCCTGGCCTTCCACCCCACCAGCCGCTACCCTGCCGATCTTGACCTCAAGTTTGAAGAAATCAAGGCCGCGTTCAGTTACGAGTTTGCTCCCAGGGTCGGGAAAGCTCTGGAGAGGGCTTTGGATCGGGCTGGAGGTGGGGGTGTGGTTGTGATGGCTGAGGGTCGTGGGGAGAAGGAAGGGGGTGAGGGAGAAGGGGAGGATGGGGAGGGGGAAGGGGAGGTGGAGGCGAAGAGGAAAGGAGCGAAAGAGGGAGGGAAGAAGGGAGGGATGGTGGATGGGGAGGCGGAGGAAGAGGAGGAAGAGGAGGAGGGAGGGGAGGAGGATGGGAAGGATGCTGAGAAGGAGCGGGGGCAGGGGGATGATGAACAGGAATATGAGGAGGAAGAGGAGGAGGAAGAGGAGGAAGAGGAAGAGGAAGAGGAGGAAGAGGAGGAGGAAGCGGCAGAGGGAGAGGAGGGGGTGGAGCAGGCAGAGGGGGAGGGTAAGGTCTCTGTTAAGAAAGGGCCTGGTGATGGTGGTAAAGTAAAGGTGGAAGGGGAGGAAGAGGAGGAAGAAGAGGAGGAAGAGGAAGACGAGGAAGAAGAAGAGGAGGTGGGAGCGGGTAAAGCAGCTGCTGCAGAATCAGCAGGGGCAGCAGCAGCAGGAGGGAAGGGGAGGAAGGAGGAGGATAGCAAGGCGAAGAAGACAAAGAAAGGGGAGAAAGGGGCAGGGCAAGAGGGGGAGAAGAAGACGAGGAAGAGGAGGAAGGAAAAGCAGGTGGCGGTGGCGACGGTGACAGGTGGCGACACGTGGATGCAGATGGAGCTGTCAGTGCCGGTGACGTCACCTGCTGTTCTCGTCCATGAGGTGAGTTTTGTTTGAGTTTTTGTTTGAGGCACATTTTGAGGAGCCTTCGGTGCCTTTTAAGCGCCTTTGAGGCGCCTCAACAAGTGTGGATGCAGATGGAGCTGTTGGTGCCGGTGACGTCACCCGCTGTTCTCATCCATGAGGTGAGCTTTGTTTGATGCGCATTGTGACGAGCCACCGTGCTCGCTCGTTCACGAGGTGAGTTCACAACGTAAGGCGCCTTTTGAGGCAGCTCACATAAGGCGGATGGATACAGATGGAGCTGTCGGTGCCGGTGACGTCACCCGCTGTTCTCATCCATGAGGTGAGAGATTGTTCTTATAACGAGGCCAGGTTGTGCTTGTAGCGAGGTGGACCTGTGTTTATGACCAATGTATCTCCCAACCCCAACCCCATCACACCCTCTCTCCCGCCAGATTGTAGACAAGGTGGCAGCAGCAGTGGTGGTGCGGGCCACGCCGGGAGTGCAGCGCTGCGCCGCTCTCGAACCAGCCTCCCCAACCAGGCCAGCCGCCCCGCATCCAAGTGGAAGGCTCAACTTTCCACCGTTCTGCTCCCTTTCACACAATCCTTCCAGATCGTTGACAAAGTGGCAGCTTTTGAGTCGACTCAAAAGTCTGCTCCCTTTCACCCAATCCTTCCAGATCGTTGACAAAGTGGCAGCTTTTGAGTCGACTCAAAAGTCTGCTCCCTTTCACCCAATCCTTCCAGATCGTTGACAAAGTGGCAGCTTTTGAGTCGACTCAAAAGTCTGCTCCCTTTCACCCAATCCTTCCAGATCGTTGACAAAGTGGCAGCTTTTGAGTCGACTCAAAAGTCTGCTCCCTTTCACCCAATCCTTCCAGATCGTTGACAAAGTGGCAGCTTTTGAGTCGACTCAAAAGTCTGCTCCCTTTCACCCAATCCTTCCAGATCGTTGACAAAGTGGCAGCTTTTGAGTCGACTCAAAAGTCTGCTCCCTTTCACCCAATCCTTCCAGATCGTTGACAAAGTGGCAGCTTTTGAGTCGACTCAAAAGTCTGCTCCCTTTCACCCAATCCTTCCAGATCGTTGACAAAGTGGCAGCAGCAGTGGTGGTGCGAGCAACCCCGGGAGTGCAGCGCTGTGCTGCCCTGGAACCAGCATCCCCCGGCCAGCCGCCCCGCATCCACGTCGAGGGACTCAACTTCCCCGGCTAACCTCCGTGTCATGCCATCCCAATCACCATCCGCTGCTATTCCCCTCTCCTTCCCTTCCCTCCACACCCGTTCCCCGTTCTCCCAACCCCCACCCCATCGCCCTCTCTCTCACTCTCTCTCTCTCCAGATTGTAGACAAGGTGGCAGCGGCAGTGGTGGTGTGGGCAACCCCGGGAGTGCAGCGCTGTGCTGCTCTGGAACCAGCCTCCCCCGGCCAGCCCCCCCGCATCCACGTCGAGGGACTCAACTTTCCCTTCCCCGGCCTCTGGAACCTCATTCCCCAACATGCTATGCCGCATCCCGCGATTCAAATCACCTTCGCTCTCGCTTTCTCCCAACCCCAACCCCCTATCACCCTCTCTCTCTCTCTCTCTCTCTCTCTCTCTCTCTCTCTCTCTCTCTCTCTCTCTCTCTCTCTCTCTCTCTCTCTCTCTCTCTCGCCAGATTGTAGACAAGGTGGCAGCAGCAGTGGTGGTGCGGGCCACGCCAGGAGTGCAGCGCTGTGCTGCCTTGGATCCAGCCTCCCCCGGCCAGCCGCCCCGCATCCAAGTCGAGGGACTCAACTTTCCCGGCCTCTGGAACCTCGCCGTATCAACCATGGGGAAGCACGATGATGAGGGAGTGCTCGATCTGAATCGGCTCTCGACGAATCACATTGCGGCGGTTCTGACAACGCTTGGCGTGGAGGCTGCGCGCGCGACGATCGTGAAGGAGGTTCGGGGCGTGTTCGGGATGTACGGGATCGCGGTGGACCCGAGGCATTTGGGTCTGATTGCGGATTTTATGACGTATGATGGCGGTTACCGCGCGTGTAACCGTAACGGGATTGACGCGAACCCGTCGCCGATTCTGAAGATGAGTTTTGAGACGGCGACCAAGTTTTTGATTAATGCGGCGTCCAAGGGGCAGACGGATCGGATGGAGTCTCCGTCGTCGAGGATTGCGCTTGGGAGGGTGGTGGATGTTGGGAGTGGGTGCTTTGACCTCATGCACAACCTGTAATTGGCGGTAGTGTCACCGTGTTTCAGCTTAACTTTTTGGGTGTGTCGAAGGGACAGACGGATCGGATAGTCTCCGTCTTGGAGGATTGCGCTTGGGATGGTGGGTGTTGGGATAGTTGCTTTGGCCTCATGCACAACCTCTGATTGAATTCAGTGACATAATAAACTCTATGTTCCGTTTGTTTAGATACTTTTCTAGTCAGTAATGTGAGAACTGGATTCAGTCTCTTTGTTTTCTGTGATACAGCCTGCGAAGCATACGTATGACTAGTTATTGATTTTTGCGCTTCAGGGAATGGGCTACCTGTTGAATGGGTCGCAAACAGATGCTGACATTGTTTTCTGATATTTAGGGTAGGTAGTTTATTATGCATACATACCCACCTCCATCAGCCATGAAGAAGCAATTCCCAGCTTGATCACCAGCAGCTGTGTGTAAGGGCATGTTATGGTAGGTAGTTGTAAGGAAAAATCCTTTTACTTACTTCGCGTCCCCGCTTAGAGGTGCACCACAGTCAGCACCGTTACCACTCGCAACCCTCACATCGACAATCCTCCCGCCACCTTCGCACGTCGCACCCCGACCTCACGGCTCGGCGGGTAACCCGCGCTCCGGGCCTCCGCTTCGACACTTTTCCCAACCTCAGTCCTAGGCCCGTCACGCGACAACCACAGTCCATTACCGTTACCACTGTAGTTTCGCTATATAGCCTTCGCTCATTGTACTCTTGCTTCGATAGTGCAATTCTCGTTCGTTCACTCAATTGCACTTGTAACACTTGGTATTCAGAGCCTACGATCTCTTCTCGGACTGCACCCACACCTTCGCTTCCCCACTACTGTATGGCCCCGGATATAAGCGCATATGCGCTTATAATAAGTTCAAAAAATTTAGGGGTGGCGCTTGTAATTGAGTATCGGCCATAAGCGCCGGCGCTTATATAATGACACATACAAATTTATACGTTAAAGGTACAAAATTGAAACGAGTCGAAATCATATAGAGTACCACAAAGCAGAATCGCGCGCAAGCGATTCTGCTTCCTGCACACTGTCAAATTCGCGTCACTTTGCAGGGATGCCAGCACATCCTGACTGGACGCGCAGCCAGTCAGGTCTTCGCGAGTCAAACGAAGCGAAAATGAAAATTGACTCGCTGCAAAACTGAAATTTGTTACCGATTTTAATTGATATTTAAATTAAAAAGGGGGGGCGCTTATAATAAGTAATGGTTTTACAGGGGGGGGGCGCTTATAATCGAGGATCGGCCATAAGCGCCATGCTCCAGATAGAAGCGCCGGCGCCTGTAATAGGCCGGCGCCTATATCCGGGGCCATACGGTATCTCAATTTTGGGGGGGTAGACGTCTCTCAGCGACATAGCACCGCCGCTCGTAGTGCTCTCTCGTAAGCACGCACGGCCACGACCGAGGCTCTCGCTGAGCTCGCCCGACACCCCCGCCATGGCCGAATTCACGCTCGCAACATTGACGCAGGAGCAGCTCGACCGTCTGGTGCGCCAACTTGAAGATTTTGCGCTCAAAATTGCGACGCTCGCGGCGGAACGTGACTCCGCGCGTCAGCAATCAACGATGAACACTCTATCGCCACCACACGCACCGACAAATGCATCTGCACAATCGGACGAGCCGATCGTCATCTCGTCCGGCACACCAACACAAAACAACAACGTGGGACAGCGCTCAGGTGCAGCCAGCGATGGCGCCGCCCAGCCGATGCCTAGCATGGGAGGAAACAGGGTCGCACCAAGCCCGCGGGAGCCTCGCGAATCCTGTCGGCACGTGGAGTTCGCGGCGACAAGTGGCGAACAGGCCATTATGGCACCAATGCCACTCAAGCCGCAACGCCCGCCCCGCTTCGACCCGAGCCAGCGTGGAGGTCCGACGGTTCAATTGTGGGTCTTCACGATGAACGTCTTCTTCGACGCGAATTACGTCGAGTCGGACGCAGCGAAGATTCGTTATGCCGTTTCGCTGCTAAGGGGCCCCGCCATGGACGAGTGGCGAGTCATCGTGACGTCGCCACGCGCCTACGAGCCACCGTCGCAAGAGGAAGGGCCCACGGGTCCAGCTGTCACCTGGAGCTCATTTTGCGAGACCGCCCAATACAGCACGTGGGATGCGTGGTGCACAGGGCTTCGCGCGCGCTTCGAGCCGATCACGGCTTCAGCGTGTCAGAGATTGCGCACTTGGCGGCAGCTCGGATCGGTTCAAGACTACACGAGTGGTTTTCTCTCATTATGCGAGCAAATCGGCTACATGCACGAAGCGAAGCGGGTGGACCGTTACGTCGGAGGGCTGAAGTCGGACATCTCGCACGAAATCATGCTACGCGGGCTCTCAAACTTCAACGAGATTCACACGCTCGCCGAGAAAATCGACATTTTATGCCGTCCGAGATCGGGGTCCTACTATGGACATCGTCCTCGGGGACCGATCGAGCACGCCATTGTACACGCTGTTGCGACGAATGCAGTTGCCGCACCGTTTAAGGGGCGCTGCTTTGCTTGCAATAGGCCGGGTCATCGCAAGAGCGAATGCCCAGAGGAGCTAAGGCGCCGCGGAGCAAAGCAGGGGAGGGAGTCTCCAAGGCAGGGAAACGCCAGAAGTCAGTAGGAATCGGGCCAAATACTGACGAGACTGCCTGCTCGCCCAACCCCACCGACCCTCACCGAGTCACAGTACCGATTCATGCTATCGATCGGACTCGGACGAATAAGGAGGGTACAGCGACGGATTGCCCAGTACTGATCCACGGGAAAATACAGGGAGCAGCAGTGAAGATTTTTATCGACGGAGGAGCAAGCCACAGTTTAGTTAATACCAGAACCGCACGAAAACTGCAACTGACACTTAGCCGTTGCTTACCGGAGATAGACGCACGCTTAGTCGATGGCACGCCACTGGCCATACGGGAAAAGGTAGAGGAAGTCAAAGTCCGCTGCGGGGGGGGATTTTGGGTTCACACAGGAAATGCTCGCAACGACACTGGATGGGCACGATATTTTACTGGGACGTGATTGGCTGCGACGGTATAACCCGCGAATTGGCTGGACGACGGGTAGCTGCACCGTGCCAAGTAGTGGTAACTGGGTCGAGCTACCTCGCTGGCAGTCGCCCGAGTCTTCAACGGTACACGTCAACGCCGTCACAATGAAACGTGCTGTCGCTGCTGGAGCTGACGTGTACGCAGTAGACATCGCAGTAGTAGAGGGAGCAGAGCAACCGAGTGATTTCAAGAAACTGCTGGTAGCAGTACCGCCTGAACTACAGGAAATGTTGAAACGATACCTCGGGATTTTCCCCGTGTGAGAAGAGTAAGCATAGTGAGGAGCCATAGCTAGGGTTTAGCTAGCTAGGCAAGAGAGAAATGAACAAAGGAGGAGTTTCACTAGCAGTAGTTGGGATACATATAACAAACCCTAACAGTGTTGTACTCGCTATAGAGCACCCCACTACAGGCTAGATAATAACATTCTGACACACCCCCATAGCCAAAGTGGGGTGTAATCAGCAGAGCACGTAGTCATAGAGCAGGTTCACAAATGCAAGCAAAGCTAGAGGTAATCACAGCGGGCACGTGAGGAGGAGGAGGAACTGTGGAAGGAGAGAAGTTGGGAGGCAACGACTGAAGCTGCAGAGGCACGGGCACAGGAGCGGCTGACTCAGTGGCTACCGAAGCAAGGGCGACGGACTACTGCAGTGACTGGCTCCGCGGCTAAGACGAGCGGCAGGAGCACGGACCCACTTGCGACTGGTGCAATAGGCTCACTGGCTACCGAAGCAAGGGCGACGGACTACAGGCGCTGCAGGCGACACGACAGCTACCTCCACACAACCTCCTCCAACTGACCCACACCCTTGACACACACCCCCTGCTGAACCCCTAACTCCACTCCCACGTCACCCCCCTAGTGCCATTCCTTCGGCTCCCACACACCCACCCCCCCTGAGCGGTAGCTGCAGCAGCGGGAGACGGGGGAGGAGGAGGAGCAGGGAACGGTGCACAGAAACTGCACCCCCACACCCCCACCCCCAAACCCTAATTCAGGAGAACGGGCAGCAGCAGGGGTGGGGCGCCGTCAGAAGCACGGGGGACAGCGGGTAGATCAGGGGCAAAGAGGAACGGGCCACCCACGGGCCTGGCACAGCCAGCCGAACCGCGCGCAGGCGGCCTGAGCCGCGCGCGGGCCTGGCGCAGCCCGTACGGGCCGCGCGCGGGCCTGGCGCAGCCCGTACGGGCCGCGCTCGGGGCTAGCGCAGCCCGCGCTGGCCGGGACGGGCGACGGGGGACGACGGGCTGGTCCCCGTCGCCCGTTGAAGCGCCCCCCGGGGGCGACGCGCGGACCGACGGGGCAGAAGGCCGCCGCGTGCCTCGGGGCGCACGGCGGGAAGAAAGCCGCCGCACGCTCCGAGCGCGCGGCGGGAAGAAAAATCCGTCGCACGCCACGGGGCGTGCAACACACAGAGTAGCAGCGGAAGCAATTAGGTGGGCCCACAGGCCAGGAGCGTAGATGCTCTGATACCATGTGAGAAGAGTAAGCATAGTGAGGAGCCATAGCTAGGGTTTAGCTAGCTAGGCAAGAGAGAAATGAACAAAGGAGGAGTTTCACTAGCAGCAATTGGGATACATATAGCAAACCCTAACAGGGTTGTACTCGCTATAGAGCACCCCACTACATGCTAGATAATAACATTCTGACACCCCGACGACTTACCGGAAGGACTGCCACCTCAGCGAGCACATGACCACCGAATCGAATTAGAACTGGGGGCACAGCCAACCGTACAGCGCCAGTTCAGACTAACACAGCCCGAGCTCGACAAACTAAGGAAGCAGTTTGATTACCTGTTAGAGAAAAAAATCATCCGACCGAGCTCGTCACCGTTCGCCGCACCGATACTGTTCACACCGAAAAAAGACGGGGGTTTTCGCATGTGTATCGACTACAGAGCACTGAACAGGGTAACAGTTAAGTCGC